GGTTGGTAATTTCAATAAAACCTCGGTTGTTCTTTACATTAGTAAGACAGTCATGGATAGTGCAATTAGATATTGTCTGTTCAGTCACAAATGCGTCACCGTCATGAAAGTTAATCGGAACACGAATTATTCTAGATGTATTGGCCGGTATTATTTCCTCATAAAGATTACAGTTCCGTGAATCATACATTCGCAGGGGGTTGGTAGAGCTCCGTGTAACTAGGACTTTGTTTTTTAAATCAATGCTAGATTCCAGTTTCTCCAGCAAGTCTAGACCAATTAAGCCATCGAAATAGTTGTGAAATTTATATATGAATAAAGTTATATCACAATCTTCACTAAATTCGCGAAAACATGGTATAGTTATGGAATAATCATTTCGAGTGGTCACATGAATGTTGGTAACCTCAAAAGGGTCGTAGTTACACTGAGTATTAGGATAGAATTTTTCTACAGCCTCGGGGCTTATAAATGATTGATTCGCCCCTGTATCAACCAATAGTTTTAAGGGTGGATCTGTAATCTGTATGTAAGGAAGTTGTCTTTGTGTTTGTAAATTTATTTCTATTTTTGCCTGTCTGATTTGTGAGTTGTTTGAAAATCCTGATTTTCCGTAGGAGCCTCATCTTGAGGTTCCTCTACATAAGCAGGTATATAGTCATTATGGTTAAATTGTTGCTGCTCATACATTTGGTGATATGTAGGTTCATCATAAGTTGGTTCATAACAGTCGTAATAGTCATTATAATCATTATAGACGTAATAATCACAATGGTCAGTATCATTAAAATTCATCTCTCGGGATTTAAAATAATTAGTGGGCGGTGGATTGCCTTGCTTTGTCCAGTCATGTCCTGTCAGGGGTCTAGGTATGGGCTTAGTAACAAAGTGGCTAACACCACTCATAGGCTGAGGGCCGTTGTTCGAGGCTTGGAAACCTCTCTGTTGGGGCATTCTAAACACATTACTTTGGGGTCTATAATTAGGTGGTGGTGCACCGAAAACTTGTTGTGTTCGCGTGGGGCCACGAATAAAAGGCGTCTGCGGTTTCCAAATTTGCATTGGCCTTGGCGGTTGAAACATTGGTCTAGAAGGTCCTGGCATATAATTTAGCGATTGGGGGAAAGTAAAGGGTCGCGGAGCTGGCAAGTTGAAAGGTCTGTTTTATTAGGTAGGAACGTAGGAAATTTAGTGTAGGAACATTATTAGAAGGATTTAATGAAGACGTCGACTGCATTCTCCGCTCAGGTAGCTGGTCGTTGCGTTGCTGCAAGTATAGAGTGTTCATTTCCTCATGAACGAATTCTAACGCTTTCTCTATACTTTCAGGCCGCATACAACGAATACGTGAACCTAGGGGTTCTTTAAGGCCACGAATATAAGCCTGTAAGGTAAGTTTTTTATACAGGGTGCGCTTGGCTTCTATTGTGGTAAGTATGTCCTCGTGCAATGTAACGTACGTCATGATAGTACTGAAAAGACTTTGGCACTTTTCATAAAACTCTTGAGGAGAGCTATCTCTTTGAGTTAAGAGAGCCAAGTCGTTATACAAAGCTGTCTCATCACGCTGATCAGAAAAATTATTTATTAGAGCATTTCTAATACCTAGCCAGTTTTCTGGGATGCCGTTTGAGTTAATTGTTCGCGCTGCATGACCAGTAACTTTGTTAAGAATCCCGTTTAATAACGATAGATTACTAAGTTCGAATCCCGGTTCCGCTCTAACGTATTGTGCTACTAACTGGTCACACAAATGTATGAAGCGCGTAAGTACGTTTGGGTTCCCGTCAAATTCAGGTAATAGGCGTAGAGCCTTGTAAACTTGATCCACCAATTCGACACTCATTTTACTTATATTATCACCTTCGTTTGAATTAAATAAATCCCTAAGATTAAAACTATCTTCTAAAGTACTTTCTAAATTTCTATTCGCATCAATTTGCAAGTTTCTACTACTATTATATAACCTAGGGGTCCGTAATTCTCGTGGATGGAAAATTTTGGAATATTACAATTACACAAAGGAATATAAAATAAGGAAAGGTAATAGCAACTCTAGTAAGATCTAGGTACTTACCAAATCATTTGCATTTCTCTGCGGTATCGATAGCTTGATACTCCAACTAGCTGCACACCTGTAGGTTCGATTTAGCCGTTGCCCGTGATCGATTCACTGACTCTAATTCAACTAAATCCTACCGACTGCGCCAATTACGTAGGGTGCAGCCGAGGGATGCTAAAAAATGCAAATTTACTTAAAAAACTATATTTAAAAGAAATTACAATTAATTAAAATTACAAATAAGTGCTAAATGATCGATGTTAGATCTAATTATGAAACTAATAAAAATGGAATCCGATATTGTGCGGGGCGATTGACGTCACCGACACATTCCGCTGACCATGCGCCTCGTGCCTCCATTGGTGCCGTGTGGAATGTTTTTCGGGCCGATGCAACGCTGCGATTTAGGCGAGGTGGCTTTGCGTAACACGCTCATTTCAAATAGTCTCGCGTCTATAAGTGGAGTCGATGTTATTTATTTGTGTTTTTTTTATAAATAAATTTATGTACTCTTGAACTTTTTTGTGTGTAGGTTTTGACAAATATATTTACGCTATATAAAGTGTGGGTCAGGAGGTAGCCAATTTAACATTTTTTTTTAATTTAAAGAAAAAACTTTTCAACCGGATTAATGTTATGTATTATTATAAATTTACAACTATTTAACATCCAACACCTTTTGTCTTCAGTCACCGTGACCACTCACGCTGTAAAGCACCCGAAAAGTCGGATAAATTTAAAATTATGTTAAATAGTTGTAAATAAAAAAGTCATGTTCGACTCCACTCAATACCTTGTCCTACCGACCACGGTCGGTCGTAAAATTTTATTGCTTTAAGTACGTATACACTGCGTTGTAATAACAACTTTAAGCTATTCGCGTAAGGTTGATTTTGCAATAATATATGCTTGTAACATATACTGTTATGGACAGAAATAGTGTTTCGGGACACTTTCGAGCGTTACTTTTATTCGAGACTGTGCATCTTGGGTTTTTTGTATATCAATGATTTATAATTTAAATTTTTAAATTTAATTTAATACTAGTAGCGCCATTTATGTGTCAGCTTACGAACTTTTCAGCCCACCGTATAATGCTCACGTTAGGTTAGTAGTCAAAGTTAGTTTAATTGTCTTTGGTGGCTTAACTACTATAGTAGGAGAGCTGGCACCAATTTTTGGGCAGGTACTTGAGGCAAGCTGAAAACTTGTCACATACCTCTCCTATTATATTCCAACACGGAATTGCAGACCTGGCTGGTGAGTAGCGGGGCTAAATCAACCCCTACATTTTTAAAAATATTAATTTTTTTTCCCCAAAAATATATTTGAGGCAATACGCAATTTATATATGTTGCAGTGTAATACTTAATAAATTCGAAAAAAATAAGCAAAAAAAAGAAAAAATTATAAAAAATGTTTTTGAGGCACTTGAAATTTTAATGGATGTTATTTATAATATAAAATAATCCCAAAGACAGATCATTTCGGTAGGGCTGCCAGGTGATCAAACAAATAATGGATGGGTACGGGCCTGTACTACTATAGACAAGCTGTAGTGTGAGAGAGAGCGCATAGTTGAAAAATATTTATTTTTTGAAGAGAATTCAAAAAAAAAATATTTTTCAACTAGATTTCACTTAGATTTATAAAAATATAATATTTCTTCAGTGTTACAATTATTTAAGTATAAAAAATTTAGAAATAAATTAAATTCATTTCACGTCAGATATAAATTATCATTCTTCGTCTGTGGATTCTTCATCAGAACTACTTGAATCTTCGGATTCATCTGTATCAGATTCGGCAACCTCTTCATCATCTGCAAAAAGAAATAGATATTATTTTTTTAATTAATCAAGAAATTTGAATGCAGCATTATTAAAAATAAACCATTTATTCTCACCTGTAGTATGATTTTCATCATGTATTTTATTTTCCTCGTGAACAACAGCGTCAATACTAATTGGGATACACTCTCCGTCAAACCAGTGAAAATCTAGGTATCCTCATTAAGTTCCACCTCTATTATTCAAAAATGGAATCTAAATATGCATTCTCAAGTTGAATATGGTCTTAAAAGATTTTTAATAATTGATGAGGTAAAGTAGAGGGAACATAATTTTTAATTTTTTCTAAAGTTATTCAGTGTGGTTTGTAATATTAGACAATAGTAACGGGAAGAAGAAGAAAAGTGTATATGCGCTCTCTCTCACACTACAGCTTGTCTATAGTAGTACAGGCCCGTACCCATCCATTATTTGTTTGATCACCTGGCAGGTAGAAAGCCCTACCGAAATGATCTGTCTTTTTGGGAATCTTATTTTATAGTTATAAATAACACTCCATTAAAATTTCAAGCTGCCTCAAAAACATTTTTTATAATTTTTTGCAAAAAAAATTTTGCACGCGTCTGGTAATGTTACAGCCCCGATTTAATCGTCTGGCTTATTTTTTTTCGTATTTATTAAGTATTACACTGCAACATATATAAATTGCGTATTGCCTCAAATATATTTTTGGGGAAAAAAAAATAATATTTTTAAAAATGTAGGGGTTGATTTAGCCCCGCTACTCACCAGCCAGGTCTGCAATTCCGTGTTGGAATATAATAGGAGAGGTATGTGACAAGTTTTCAGCTTGCCTCAAATACCTGCCCAAAAATTGGTGCCAGCTCTCGGACCACTAGAAATAATGTGTCAATGAAGAACAGTTCCGTCATATTTTTACGAAACTTTCACCACTTTCATACATTACAAGATGATGTTATACGTCATATTGTTCAACATTTAACTTCAGGAGTTAACTATGTAACCAATTTGACTATCAAACACAAAACTGTTTTTTAGTTCAAATCTGTATTTTCTGGAACAACTAAAGCTTAGGAGATTGAGGTACTTAGATTGAGGAGAATCGTACACAAATATATTATTTTCAGATTGTTAGAGACGAGAAGAGAAGATCTAATTCTAATTCTTGTAGAAGAAATTCCACGTCGCCTACGCCCAAATACACTACACTTTCTAATGCTGACTAAGACCTACATCGTCTGGCCGAAAGAAGAATCAGAGAAGAAGGAGTTTTGGAAGAGAATGAAGAAGTCCCTAGTCACACAGAAATTGAAAAACGTTGAGAATGATTCTTTAGCTTAAGAATATTTGAGATATAAGGAAGTAATTTAGTTTTTAAGTTTGTAGTTGCGATCGCTTGATGCTGGAAACTATTTGGCATAGTTCCATGTTCACTGGCCACACTTTAATTAATGGTAATTTAATGACATAACATTGTGCAGCTGTCATGTGAAATGACATTTTATCAGATAACAAATCTATAATAGATGCTTTTAGTTTAGGCAGGGCTGGATTTAGGGCAACCGGGGCTACAGCCCAGGGTCCTTCACAAAAAAGGAGACATTAGAAAATGTTATAAATTCCGACTAGTAATTCTCTCTAGTAAGTCTTTTAATATAATTTTATTAAATACTTTACTATAATTTTATTTTATTAAAAGAATCTACTTGGTTTCACAATAAATTATTGATTGAAAAACTCGACTGAAAACAATTGGATTTGGAAAATAATTTAGGGTCAGGGGGCCTTCACTACTTTGTTGTTCCTCCAGACCTCTAAATCCGGATCTGAGTTTAGGCGGGTTGGTTATAACATGTTTTTGACAGTAAGCACGGCCAATATCAATTGCTTTTAGTAGAAAAATTATTACAAATTAGTTAAGTTGTTTATCAAACAAATATCCTTAATTTTATTAAACTTACGAGCTGTCAGAATAATTCCTCCCTTCATTTGTTTTGGTTGAGGTGGAGTCGTCAGTAGATCCAAATTTAGAACGCCGTTGCAAATTCTGAAATTTGTTAAAAATTGAGTTAACACGTTCGTTGCATTACGAGATCTATCAGATCTTTGCAGGACTTTTGTATTGTGCTTGAACATAATCGTGTTTTTTCACTCCTTGGGGAGGGTCTAACTTGTAAAGTTCTTTAAGGATGAGCAGGACAAATATATATATTTTCTTCCTACTTAAAGCTAATTCAAGGACTTTAAAAAAATTAGAGATGTACTGTAATTGTTTTAATTCCTTGGTTAGGAGATATGTGGTATCGTGAAATGTACCTCGTAGACGAGAGATGGAGGATGATTTTAGTGTGTCTAGAATCGACATTGGGAATTGGAGTTTTGGAAATTACACTCGCGTATATTCAGTTTTTATTTTTGATAAACAATGAGTATTAAGTTTAAAAGAAAAAAGTTAAAAAATCTATTTTATTGGTGAGGTTTCTAACAAAAATTCAACGCCGGATTATACTGTATCTCAGTAAAATATTTGTTTTGGAAAATTTCAAATTTGCCCGATTGACTAATAATGACAGTGATTCTGATTATGAAATATTTAACGATAAACCTTTTTCGTTGAGCACACGCAGTTAAACAGCATGACGCTTCTAAAAAAACTAAACGAATTTTACCATTTGCGCGTAATGTGCAAGCAATCAATGTCTACCATTTTTATTGAAAAACACTTTGCATAATTAATAAAACTTTTAGAATCGATAACTGAGATATTATTTTATTCCCATCACTACTTACTACAATATTGAACTATTTCGGTGGTAGAATACAATCATATCTAATTTTTTTGTTATTGTATTTATTCAAATGTGTAACTGGTGCGAACCTAGAAAATATAAAGAATTAGCTATCTTTCACCCACAAAAAATTCAAAATATATGTATTTTTTTTGGAAGATATAAATTATTTTCAAAAGTGTATTTTTAGGAGACTGATTAGGTCTCAAACGACAGAGGATAGGTTGTTAGAGATCTTTTAGGTCTCCAAGCACAGCTGAAAGTTCTTTAAAATATGGGAGTAAGTGTAAACTGCGAAAATATTCATAGATTTTAATATAGTTATTATAAAAGTCTCCGAGACTAGGTTAGTTAAATATTGGGGATTCAACACCGGTGTGGGTTAGATATAATAGAAATTCTTTGAGTGAGTTTACATTTGCGATACGATGCGACCGGCATGACTCACAAAACTCTTTTCTTAAACATTAGTAAAACGAATGTCTTTGCGCTTCTTAAACAAATCTCTCTATTAAAAATCATATTTAATGGATGATGATTTAGTTTTGTCAAGATATATAAAATACCAACCTATATTTTCTCAAATTAATTTCGCCCGTTCTTGTACGCGTCATGCAGGTCTTCAGGTATTTAGCAAAACGGACCTCTGTAAATATTAATCATACATTCATACAATGTACATAGTCTAATATAAAATTTATTTAAAATGTAGTATTAGTTCTGTGCACAGAATCTCCAACCCGAGATCCTATTTTGATTTATTTATATTAATTTTAATGTGACATGGACTTATAGGCAAACATAACATACATAAAGAGATAAAACAATTAAAAATAAAAATTAGCGGCGCAACCTCTTTAGGTTTGGGCCTCAGATTTCTGAATCGTTCCATGATCATTTTTTAAAATCTAATGGGTGATTAGCCTCCACTGCCTGACACACGCCGCCGTCTTAGACATGTCGGTTTCCTCACGATGTTTTCCTTCACCGTTCGAGCGAATGTTAAATGCGCCCATAGAAAGAAAGTCCATTGGTGCACAGGCGGGGTTCGAACCTACGACCTCAGGGATGAGAGTCGGACGCTGAAGTAACTAGGCCAACACTGCTCACAAAAAAAAATTTATAAAAGCTAAACGAAAACCGATTTCAAAGTGTGAGGGGAGCAACTATGGACATCCAGCTCGTTTATCAGAATGCCCAATCTGGATATCGGTGAGTTTTGACCAAAACAATCCGGAAAGGAGGTACAAATGGAACGATGGGATGAAATTTATAAATAGCTTAAATGCAAACGATATATCAATTAATTTTCTACGAATGTCCAATGACAATATTATTAATAATTATTATTAATAATTAATTATAACTTAAAGTGCGCTATCCTGGTTTTGTATGTTGGACACTTTTTTTTAAGATGATTAAATTTAGACTCACATTTCATGTCTTATCTTTATATATATAATTCTATATATATTATATATAATTCTACTGGACGTGTGTATGTTACTGAACTCCTCTTAAACTGCTGCCCGATTTGAATGAATGATTTGTATGCGTTTGTGTATTGGATTGTAGATTCACAAATCAGCCCACCAATTTAAATTATAATTAATACCATACCGTTTTGTTCCCCGATGTATGTTCTTGGGTCAGGTAAGAATGGCGGCTCAGCCATATTCAAATTATCCAATTCCTCCTTCTCTTTTTCATTTTTTGTGTAGCTAATAACAATAAATTTTACCTCATATAACTTTATGTGAGTAAAGTATCATTATTAAGTCCAAAACATATTTTTTTATATATTTCTTTATATATATTATATGTATATATGAGAGAGTATACATTATATATATGTATAGTTGAATATTGAAGTTGGAATCGCTATTGAAGCTTCAAACAGTTTCCTTGTGAGACGACTTAAAATTTGTCAGAAAAACATGTTTAGCACCTTTTCGAGTACTTACGGATTCGCCTTCAAAAACTTCTCAACTTCTGTAATTTTTTCTTTGATCTCTTTGTAAAACGCTGTTCTAATAACATCCTGGTCTTTCTTTATTTTGTATGTTTCTATGTGCTCTCTTACATTAAATACGAAAAGATCTAAAAATATAAATCAAATTGTCATGAAATCATTATAAACGGGGATTTCAAAATAAATTTAAAATTAAGAAATTCTACTATGACGTAGACTTCTGCTCCATGCGACTCTGTAACTCACTTTTTGAACTACGTGACAGTCGGTTTTCATGCATCGGCGTTCTGACTCTCAGATTAATCGTTTGTTTTTAGTCTATTTTATGATTTTTTAAGTGAAACTTCTTTAGCGATGAGGGAATAATTTATTGAAAGTCTCAATGTGCAGCGATTTTGTAGAATTAAAATGGAGTGGCGATTGTGACCTGATTTATATCGAAGAAATTAATTAACACTTAAAATTTGTAAGGAAATTTAATATAATTAAATTCCTAATTGTATATTTAAATGCCTTTTTCTACCTCCTCTAAGAATCTCGGAAATCTAAAGTTTTAGATTTGTATAAATATGAACAAGACATAAAAATTAGTTTGCCAAAGAAGTTTCCCTTCTGGTAAGTGTACTTTGTACGCACGGACTTTTTTTATTTTATTTGGTAAATGTATATTTTTCAAGGTTACTTGTAATTTTTTTGTTTATATGTTAATTTGGTTATGCATTTGTTGCACCCTTGCACCACACTTTCAAGAGATTGCTTGTTAGCGATAAGGCCGTCAGTTGCATCCTCTCATTTGTAGTGAAAATAAGAAACAATAATTAAGATTTAGCAAATAAAAATAAATAAAATAGTTTATTATTTAATAACAAATAGATGTCCTCTATGTCTTCCAAACAGACATTATTTTCACAATAACTGAATTCAAGACCTCACAGTGTTACGAAAACAAACCATTTTGCTACGCCAAACTAATACACAAAAGTTTTATTACTCAGTTGTAAAGAGGTGTATCAAAAAACCCACCTTCATATCTATTAGGCATCTCAGCAGCTAAAGCAAAAGACCTAGAACTCTCACTTAAAAGATCTACCATAGACCGAGCTGCGCGCACGCACACATTGGAACCGTCTATGATCTTTGGCAGCTTGACACCTACACGCATTGCGGGAAATGTCAACTCGACTGGTTCTCTAAAATATAAATAATTATATATTAATTTTTAAACTATATGTTCTATAAAAAGTTTTAACTAAAGTCTCTTTTCATCATAGCATAAACGCAATTTGTCAGAGCGGGACAAAAGAGTCCCTTCGTGTGGTAAGCATGTGAAGTTATTTAACCTTTCGTATTTATTTATTTATTTATTTATTTATTTATTGCATTTTAGGAAGATTTACAGTATTTTAACAGAAGGTAAATTATGATTACAATAAAATAAAGTCAGTACTAATTACAAATCTCCACCTATAGATAATCCATAAATACCTTTAGGAGATAGGAGGGATAAAATTAACAATCATGAATTTATAATACTATGAAACAATGAAAGAACTTAAGTAAATGACAAATTAAGTATGACTTCTAATGGAAATAGCTGGATGTGAGTGTGCGTCTCACAGAGTCAATGGAAGAACAGAATAGATCGATGTCAAGCTGGGTTGAATACTGGTTGTAGGTCTGTACACTTCGAATCAAGAATGTATTTTTCCTATAGTTGGTATTAAATGGAGGCATTTTGAAAAGAGGGCGATGTCTGAACCATAATAAGTCAGTTCGCAAGTTGAGCTTTGCTAACATCTCCGGACAATCAACGAATCCCCTAACAATCTGTAATAAATAGCAGACATCGGAAATATTCCTTCGATTTTCAAGGGGCAAAAAATGGTAGCGTTGACAACGGTGATGGTAACCATCAGAATGCTGGTGGGCCTTAAAGTCGAGAAAACGAAGGAAGCGTCGCTGGATATTTTCGAGACGAGCCTTGTATTCCTGGTATTGAGGATTCCAGACTTGTGAGGCGTACTCTAGGTGACTACGCACAAAAGAACAATATAATATTTTAATAGTTTTTAAATGTTTGAAGACAGCTGATGTTCTAATGATAAAACCCAAGGATTTAGAGGCTTTGGAAACTACACTATCAATGTGTCTATCAAATAGCAATTTATTGTCATGGATGACCCCAAGATCCTTAACTTCTACCAGTCTAGAAATTGACTGATTATAGAAGTTGAGATTAACTATCAATGGACTAGGTTTACGGCTAAAACTAATGTGATGACATTTAGACACATTGAGTTCCAACTTGTTTCGGACACAATAATGCTCAAACCTATTCAAATCGGCTTGCAGTAGGTTAATGTCATCCGTGTTATGCACAAACTTAAAGATTTTCATATCATCGGCAAACAGTAATATTTTAGAATTAAGGAAACAATCACCCACATCCAATGTGAACAGAATAAACATTAAAGGGCCCAAGATCGATCGCCCTTCTTGAATACAGGTGTAATATAAGCTCTCTTCCATATCTTCGGGACTATGCCTTCTGAGAGAGAACGCTGAAATATAATGGTCAAGGGTACTACCAAGCCAGACGCACAGTTGACTATAAAGACTGGGGGCAAGAGATCAGGACCACCACCCTTACTTAAATCTAATTTACGAATCAGTTTCTCGACCTTCGCATGTGTAACTGACACAGTAGAGATGCTAACGGTACTAGTACAACTAACAGGACTATTATTAACATTAACAGTGTCATTAGGTTTTAGAAAATTAGACTCAAAATAACTTGAAAACAGGTTAGAAATACCTAAACCAGAATCTGCAGTAGCACCAGTTGTTTTGTAGCACATAAAATTGGGATAAGAATTGGACAATTTTTTGGATTTAACATACGACCAAAAGGTACGAGGATCGCGAACTATAGAAGCCTCAATTCTGTCTATATATACCTCAAAGCACTTCTTTTCTACTGTGATTGCCCTTTCACGCAGAGTTGAGAATGATAAGTAATCCGCAATGTTACCATAAATTTTGTACTTACTGTGATATTTATACTTTTCCTTTAGTATTTTGACTAGAGCAGAACTATACCATGGTGGATACAAACATTTTGATACAAGTTTGGACGGAATAAACTTATCACGTAGCTCATAAATTTTATCATATAGTAAAGTCAGTGCTTCGTCTACAGTACAGTTAAACAAACAAGAATGCCAGTCTATCGAATTGAGAACTGATGTTATAGAATTAAAGTCAGCGCGGTTATATAAAAATTTTAAGGTTTTATCTTGTTCTAGAGTATGTATTTCAACAAATTCTATATCTAAAATTAATGATTTATGATGTTCATCTTCTGGAACCAAGGGTGACATACACGCTTGAACATTCACAGGTGAGTTAGAGAATATAAGATCCAGTATTCTTTGATTAATATTTGATTGTGCGTTATATTGACTAAGATTACAAGTATTAATAATATCAAGAAAATTTTTCAGATAATCAGATTTGTATTCGATAGGTAACAATTCAGTAGACCCCTCAGACCTAACCCAATTGATGTCATCCTTGAAATTAAAATCACCTGTTACAAGAAATACGTCCGACGGGTGGCTCAATACTAGTTCACCTAATTTATTCGAAAAATTTAACACCTGTGTTTTATAAGAATTACCGCTTCCTTCATTACACAAATAAACCGTACATAAATGTATATTAAAGTTTATAGAAGGGTTCCTACGTTTCAAAGTGATTGTCACCCAAATGTCCTCTGCTGAGCTCCTCCACTCCGACCGCTCAACAACCATAAGATCTTTCCGCACCGCTAACAATACTCCTCCACCTAGTTTCTGCGCTGTCCGCGCATAATCACGATCTCGTCTCCATATTATGTAACGAGAATCAAATAATTCACTGCTTAAAATACTGTCAAGAAGCCATGTTTCAGTGATTGCAATAAAATCATAATTATTTAACAATATGTTAGCCAGAAATACGTTCGTTTTAGTGCGCAGCCCTCGAGCATTCTGATAGTAACCAATAAGACTTTTGAACTTAATCATTGAAGAAACAGACAATAAAAACAATATATTTACCTATACATATCGAAGCATTCATATAGGATAGACAAAGCAACATAACCAATAAATACACCGACTCGCCATTCAAGCAAACTAAAATAAGTACAATTCTATTCAATAAATATTTTTCGTTAGCGAGACAATAGATATACTTAAATGCCGTAAGCAACGTCTTGGAATAATAAATAATCGATCTTATATAAATAGCGTTAGAATCATTACTGGTATGCACTCCATTAGCAGATAAGCAAAAGCAATTCAAACCTGTTTCGATAGTCAACCCACAACACAGAACAATGAATGAGAAAAAAACCGTACCATGCCGTACCATCGCACACTCACCGCCAGCTGTTCTCAACATGTTAAATGCAGATAAAAATTAATGTAATAAGACTTTATGAATAACAATAAAAATGATAAGGATTATATTACTGCGGATATAAATTATTGGTGAAGTGTTGTCCTTCCGTATATGAATTACAGCTCTCTTCACCCATATGTATTGAAAATTATGATCTTTGGCTACCTTGCGAGCTTTGTTCAGCAGATCTTTGTTTTTGGGAGTGAGGTGGTCGTTTATAAATATTTTATGATTGCCATTAAAGCCCAGATTGGCACATGTTATAGACGATTTTGATCTGGCTAGGTCCTTGGCTTTGGTTCTTGCTGCCGCGATGAAATCTTCCTTGGCGTAACGGTTTAAGAAGCACAATATAATTGGCTTTGGTTGAGTACTATCTCGCACTGGCACGCGAGTAACAAAGTTGATTTGATTTTTCTGGACCGTATAGTTTATTAAATGACCAATAGAATTAACTATATCGTGTATGTTTTCCTTGTCCCTCTGAGGAACTCCTTTAATCTCGACATTATTAATTCGTGACCATTGCTCGTTATCGTCCGCTTCACTCTCTAGCTTATCCAGCCTAGTTTGGATAGCACTATACTGTTCTACGATGTTCTGATTGTCAGATTCAACCTTGGACAGACGGGATTCAAAATTCTCTATTTTAGTTTTGAACTCACCGACGACTCCATTCATTTCACTGAAAGAGGACCTCAGCTCCGATAATTCCTTTCTGAGTGATTTGACATCTTCTACCAAAGATTCTAAAGGGGCGAGTTTTAAGGAAACAGCTCTAATTTCCTCCAGAATAGTCGACTCAACAGGCTTCTTCACTAGAGGTGATGTAGAGGCGGATGTCGAGACTGCTTGAGGTTGCGCAGAGATTTTACAATTGGCACAGCACCAAGTGAATCTTCTATCACCTAGTCTCCGATATCCTACCTCAGTAATGCCTCCACACTGAAAGTGAAATTCCAACTTGCAGACAGAGCAGGAAGCTCCGTCCCTGATCTCCTCTCCACAGCTACCACACAAGTTAGACATATCGTAAAATAGATAGCGACGATTGAGAATCACTGTAACTAGTATTAAATCCGAAAGGTATGATTCACTAACAATGTATACGTCCGCACGCCGCAACGCTTGACGATTATTACATTACACGGTTATTCCCCCTTATAACGCGGGGATTTACTTACGCACTTATTTCGTTAATAACATCCTTTTTCCTTAACATTCGATTAAATTTAACGAGAAAACTGAAGCGTGAATCATTTGTATCTACATAACGCGATAAATGGGGTCATACAAGCGTTTATAATGCGAAACCAATCTACCGTGTTATAGGAGAGATTATTGTACTATAGTGAAGAATAAAAAGCGTTAATACACTTAGAAAACGTACGGTTCAGGTTCCACTGGCTTCCGTTTCCTGGTAGGCAAGGGTATTGCAACCCAAATATTTAGCATTAGCCCATTGAACTCTCTTCCATACGTTGCTAGCTGAATGGAGTCCCAGACCAAACAATGTTCCAAGTCCCGTAGGAGGGAGTATGAAGCGCATTGGATAGCTTGGGATAGTTGTTCACGAAGGGCTATTCGCACCTGAATTTTATATTAATAGGTTAAAATGTGATTAGTGTGCGGTTCTCCTGACGCTGGGCGTTCGATTTGAAAAGATCGTAGGAAAACTGACAGGTTTCAGAAACAAACGACGATTCAGAAGCACACAGAATGAACCTGGAGAATCTATTCGATAGTTAGATCGATACTTTAAATAAGAAACAAGAATAAAACAGTTTTCCAGCCTGAGACACCAGGTGGTTCGGCGTAGCATGTCCCATAATATTATATGTCACCGAAATATAACAAAATCCGCAATTTCCTAGGATATTTATAAACTTTCGTATGATTCTAAACGAGATTTTTTAGCATTTTAGCAAATTGATAAACTTACCGAACTCACGCGTAAAATAATAAGTAAGTAAGTGAAAAACTTAACCTAACCTAACCGTTTACAATCTTACGAATGGATAGTTAGTTATAATTTACCACGAGACGTCACAGAATGATAAATTTGCGAAAATGTGGGAGTAAAATGATACAATTTATCTCTCGTTTAGAATTCTACGAAAGTTTAATAACAAACATGCGGATTTTCTTATCTTCCGGACATATACATGTCTATAATAAAGTCTTTTCCGTGTTAGGGAAGAGGTATAAATTGATAAGAAGACCAATCCCCTACTAGCCCATAACATTAGTGATTTTTTTTTCTAGAACAGGGGCTTACCTGATGTTAAGTGATACCGCCCATGGACACTCTCATTGTCTAGATCGCGATCGCGTGCGTTGCCGTCCTTTCAAATCAACTAAAGCCATATTATATATATCTCGTGTATAATACAACTATGTACCTACCTCATTATAAGACTGCGCTTGAAGTGCTGTATATTGCCGAGAGTTTGCCACAATCTCTTCCAGCATCGCCAACATCTGAGATACAGGGTTGAGGGTTATACAAAAAACAAAATAATTTTTTTTTATTATGGAACATATAATAATGATACAGGTATCACTTATTCCACGTCATTAAATTTGAATCGGTAGACATCCCTAATCATCGGCAAAGAAGACAGAGGGTGTAGGCCGAGAGAAAAAGCCGGCCTAAAAAACTCTCGCTACTCTTTTAAAATAGCAAATCATCAAACAACACTTATTTTAAAACAAATTTATTAGTATAAATAGATTATAGTACGTTTATTGATGACGTTTGTTACCGGCAACGCATCCCTGCACCTGATCTCCAACTCATTATCATCGCAGGCTGCCTTCTGCCATAGGTGGATGTACGTATTCATTTGCGTCACAACCCTCGGATCTGGAAGACCGTCACAACGAAGGTACTGTTGCCACTGGAAATAGAAATAGCTCTCAGCATCTAACAATATTTGACTATTGACAAATGAAACAGAGATATAATACAATTAAAAAAAGCATATCGAGTGTGCAGTGTTGGCCTAGTGGCTTCAGCGTTTTATAACGCTGAATATAAAACAGGGTGAATTTGCCGATGTGAAAGGCCCTTGCTGTGCCAAGGTCCATTCCACATCATTCGTGGTGGTAGAGGTCACGGTGAGTTTAACGGCTGATCGCATGGCTGGATGCGGACAAGGCTGCGCTGTTACCGTGTCCTGCCCCGGACGGTTTCTGGTGGCGCCGTGGGGTTTTAGTAGGTATGCACAAAAGCGAGTCCCACATAACCCTTCTCCACCAGGTCAACCGTGCCGCGGGAGGGTATGCGTAACGCATTTCCCCACGAAAAAAAAAGAAAAAAAATGGGCTTCTGCGTGCGGCTCTAATCCCTGAGGTCGCAGGTTAGATACCCGGCTGTACACCAATGGACTTTCTTTATATGTCTTGTTATTCTAATAGGCTAGTAGGTGATCAACCTTCTGTGCCTGACACACACCGTCGACTTTTTGTGTCTAAGGCATGCGGGTTTCCTTACGATGTTTTCCTTCACCGTTCGAGCAAGTGTTAAATGCACATAGAAAGTCCATTGGTGCACAGCCTCGGAACCAACCTACGACCCTAGATGAGAGACGCACGTTGAAACCACTTTTAAATGAGGTGAAAGTGCGCTTATGCAGCATGGATGCCATGCTTGACGCGGGGACTGTGGGGCTGGGTCTACACTGAAATCCCTCTGCTATTCAGAGGGGTAGCGAGATCCCAACCACTAAATACACTTCAGCCCTCCACACGCGCTTAAGATGGGCCCTCGGGGTTCGCCAGGCATTCTACCCAAGGGACAAAAAGGAATGTTGAATTACTCACCACTTGTAATTTCCATCCTCGGCCTAGAACGTATTGATACATACATCCTTAACCTACACAGTATATTTTCTTAGGTAGCATACTCACTGCTTGCCTTAGAAAGACCGTGCCCTCCATGTTCGGTTTAAGCACTCACCCGGAACCGCACAATCCTCCCAAAGACAGGATACAAATCTCAATTAAAACTTGCCCTCGAACCGGGAATCGAACCCGGTACCCCTCATCTAGCTGCCACTTAATAAGACCGTTAGGCTATGAGGCCCTTAACGTTGAAACCTCTAGGCCAACACTGCTCAACTGCTCACAGCTTTGTATAATGTGAAATTAATCATAATCATGAAAGAAATTCCGTGTTTGTTTTGATTTTACTTTTCGTATATTATTGACCATTAATATTTGTAAAACTATTGATTTACAAAACCTGGAGAGGCGATATATATCTTTACTAAACGGCTTGAAAAATTGTACATAAACGTAGAAAATAATTAAGGTTTTCCGTATTAATGGGATTAAAAATGTAATCAAATTCTTACCTCTGCCTCAAGTTGTTTATTTCTCGCATAGTCAATTTTCTGTTTATCAAATTCTGAAAATAAATATTTATCCAATTAAAGAAGGGCCAGATCATTTATTGGTCTATAATAATAATAATTTACTTGCAAGAATATGGTACAAAAATGTTTTGGTTGTCCACTGTTTCACAAATCATGTCTTCCAATTTCTTTTTAGTAATGGAAGAACTTACTATGAAACAAAGTGCACGTCTTGGCCAATATATCCCTTCGTATCTCCAGCTCGGCATTGTCTTTTGCCATCAATTCTGCTCTTTCTCGCGCCAGGGCTAGTCTCTTCTCCTTCGCTCCAGCTAAAATGGCTTGTCTGCAATTTTATTTACATTCTCCAAAGTGAATTTTTACCGGAAACTATTTACCTTCTTCAAATAAATTAATCATGTATTTTAATTAATCTACTGATTTATTATTAGACAGCCACGAATGAGTTATATGAAACAGCGTATTATATCGTTAACTAGCTGTCCCGCGAACTTCGTTTCTCCTTAATGTGATTTTACTTAGCCTACATTTTTAGTACATACCAACATGGAACATTTTGCTATGCTACCTCAGAGACTGTTTGGTTTTCCGGAATTAAATCTTTTTAGATTTTTCTGTAAATTTTTCTCTATATAAACCTCAAGTTCAAGTCATAAATTTAAAAAAATAGGGGTTGATCGTAGGGGGGTGAAATTGTATGTATGAGTATGTATTTTTGTATGCAGTATCATAAAAAATAAAAACAAACAAAATTGTCTAAGAAAAACTAATTTTAGGGTTGGACCATCCTTAACATTTAGGGGTTTCTAAATTATATATTGCCGATTCACAGACTTACTGAATATGCATAAAAAATTTCATAAGAATCGGTCCAGCCGTTTCGGAGGAGTATGGGAACGAACGAATAATTAAAATTCATGCCCCTTTTGCATTTTAACACATAGGTATGTCATGTGGCAAATACTGAGTTTTATTATTAATTATTTCAGTTTAATTATACTGGAGACTAATTAATTTATGACGAATCGCATTTGTAGTAGGTACGTTGATTTGTTTCTTTTTACACGGCCTTAAGAGTATTCCAAAGGGACTGTTCGAGACTAAAATAAAACCTAGAAAAGTTAAGGACAAGGTTAACAAGTAAAGGCTATTTTTACTTTTAAATGTTTACAATCCAACAAAACTAACTTTTCTGCTTCTTTCTCCGCTCTCCATTCTTCTATACGCTGCTGAAGCCATGCTTCTCTCTCCTTCTTATTCATACTTTTCCAATTTTTGGGCTGTCAAGCAACCTTTCTTTACACTTTTGAATATCTATTTTTATATTTGAATTACGTTAAATATTAATAAAATAGTTTTATTTACATTTTAACGACAAATTGCTAGATTAGTGTAAAATGAGATAATTTACTTTGTGTTTGGTCAACTCATTCAATAATTTGTATTCTTATTATATATACGTACTGCACATACGTGCTTTCTTATCGACGTTTGAATAAAAAGTTAATGAAATAAATTTGGCTCAAAGCGTTGCTATGGTAAACAAAAGAATTGTTCTTGATATTTTATTAACAGTAGCAACAATAAAACCGAGTTCACTCGACATGAACACTGTATAAGAACACACTTTGCATTTATTATATAGACTTGTATATTGTGGATTTTAAGACGTAATATATATTCGAATATAATTTATTTCTTGTTTAGGTCACTGAGTTTTAATAAATCAATCAAATGGCTAAATTAATTTTGATGAAGTTAATTAAATTAAAGTTAATTTATTTATTTATTAACACTTCGTTGCAGAAATATAATACAATTGACATAATTAAATGAAAAGGAGCAGAGTTGGCCTAGTGGCTTCAGCGTGCGACTCTCATACCTGAGGTCGTAGGTTCGATTCCCAGCTGTGCACCAATGGACTTTCTTTCTATGTGCGCATTTAACATTTGATCGAACGTTGAAGGAAAGGACTTAGAGAGGTTGTAGGAGAGGTTATAAATGAAAAGGAGGGCAACTGGCGGCCTTATCAAGCGATTTCTTCCAGGCCTTATCGCAAGCGATCTCGGCCACTCTTTACGGAGGTAAACGCAAACATTAGGGTAGTATAGTTCTAATTGATCACAATTGCTGACAAGAACTTGTGCGTCATACGTACACTATACCAACCATATGGTTGAGGTTTCTGGGGAGTAATGGATGGAGGAAACTAAGAACAGATCCAAATGGAAAGTTCAGGGGGTTAACCCAAAAAGGGGTTCACATTGTACAACACATAGAAACGGAAATAACAGTAACTAACATAGAGTATAAAAACCCGTTTCATATGTAATTTTTAACAGTATGGAATTAAAGTGGCTTTATTATTATTATTTTATCCGATAATGAAGCTTTATATATATATGTATAATACTCGCGTAGAATAAATATTACGACATTTATTAATTAACAATTGGACTTAAGTACAAATATTCTTTAAATACAGTACCTTTTCAAAGGCTGGAATTTCTTCCACTTCCTTCCCTTTCTTTCCCTTTTTGCCCTTCTTCTTTTTTGTTTCAACTTCTTCTTCTTCTACTTTCTGCTGTTCTTCTATATTATGAAATTAAATTAAAATTTACTTCATAGGCGAGTAGAAAATTACTAAAACACAAATATAATGTTGCCTTCTCAGGAAAAATATTTGCCTTGACCAATGCTTTCACTAAAATAATGCTATGAATTTTCTAGGTTTACCTACCTCCAACTAAAGACTCCTCGGACCACTGGAACTGTTCACTGCTTGTTTTTCGAACCACTTCGACAACCTATAATTTTTTTCTATATAGTATAAAAATTTATTCGAAATTCGAATTCACTGATAAAAATAAAAAAAAATATTTAGATTATTTTGTTTAATAATAAAACTATTGATCATAATTGAACTCATTGCAAGATGTCTTACCTCTTCCGCCTTCTTTTTGCCCTTCTTCTTTTTCGGCTTGATCTCTGAAAATAAAGTGACAAACGATAAAAAAAGAGATATTTTTTTTAACTTTGTTTCAATGCATAATGTTATCAAAAACGGGGCCACGTACTAACAAATAACAAATTTTATTCTATAAAGCAAATATTTGGAACAACAAAATCCAAATAATGAAGCAATTTAAAGTCACTGAAAGAGTTTTTATTTCCTCTCAGTCATAACGTAGGCGGTAACTAAGATTATATTGATCAAACAGTATTTTGGGTGTCCTTTAAGACCGATGACGAAGCTATTCTATAGATCGAGGTTTCAGAGGGCTAACCTTCTGAAAAGGGCACATATGATTCGGTGGATAACTTTAGTTTTATTGTTCTTCGAGTGAACTGACAAAAGTTCTATTATTTCTTAGTGCCTATAGTAGTTAGTAAATTTTTATTATGTAATTTTTTCTAAAGTAATTTCTGTTTGTTTTTTGTTTCGTGTGTAAATCGCTTTCAATTTGTTATGCATTTTTTTCGATTAAGTCTCCTGTTAGGACAGGATTGTCTTTTAATTATAAATAAATAAATCAATAAAATTATATAGTATTTGAATCATGATTTAAAAATATCGGATTACATAAAAAATATTCTATCTATTCTTGCACTGAAATTCTTTAATGAATATAATTTATAACATTATTTACCCAACTTGAACGAGAAATAAAAAAAAACGAGAAGTAGTGAGAGATAAAAGTTATTATTGCTCAATAGCAAAATGCTCGACAAACTGAAAATATCGCAATAGATATTTTCAGTTTGTCGACGTAAACTGAATTTATTGCATACTAAACGTAGACTAGACATTGACGCATTCTACTCGATTAACATGTTAGTTGTTACTCAGCATTATTTTATAAATAAAATACCTAATAAATTTTATGAAATCAATCAAAATTCTGAACCACAAACAATTTAATTTAAAACTATTTTCAGACGTTTATTTCTTATTTTATTTATAGGATCTAGTAGCCTATCAGGCACGCGATCAGGCAGATCTGTGGCCTAGAAACTAGGTACCAAATCTCCCCTTTCCTAAAAAGGGAATTTATTTGCTTAAAAGGTTTTGCGTCCTCCGCCGGGCCCGGGTGCCAACTACTCCGGAAATATCCTCATGGTACTTATGGGCGAGTCGTAGGCCGGCGGGACCCACGTTACCTCTTGTGCTATTTATCTTTCACGTTTATTTAAACTACCATTACTAGTACAATTTAGTTGATCAGTGGTCCGTTTTCGCCGTGGTCGTTCGACAGGTGATCTTTTAGAATACTTTACGCACAGATGGGCTAGAGCCATAGAGCAAAAAGGAGAGGCGTTGGCGGTCAGCTTGGACATAGGGAAAGCCTTCGATCGGGTATACCTCAGGTTACTCGAGAAATTGTGCGACTGGATTTCCAGCTTTTTGGCCGAGCGGAACATCAAGGTCGATGTCGACGGTGAATGTAAACAATTTCTGGATTTCCCCAAGGCTGTGTACTCTGTTATTACTGCATATCAATGATATGTGTCAGTTCTGCGGCGTTCATTGATATGCGGATGACTGGGGACGCCTTTTAAATCGGCCGTGTAAATATTTTTCGGGTTGATAGTAGTGTCGTTTATGACAGACATTAGGGGAGCTCAAAAAGGAATATCGGAGTTTCTCTCTAGTGTGGCAGATTTGCGAGAATACCTATCTAACAATGTACATAATTTAATTTCGCCGAAGTTGCGAAAAAATACTGACTTTTGTCAAACATCAAGTATTTTTATCGAGTAAAAACTTGAGTGCGAATGTTCTTTTTATTGAACCACGACAGTGGAATAAATGATTTTTTAATTTGAATTGAATCACGATGCATCATGAGTAAGCTTATCGTCCATGGTTGAGTATGTAAAAAAATATATTTTTGTATAGGAATTCGCTGTGACGCAACACTTGCGAATCATCAGTCAATGTATTGGGTATGGCCAACTTCAAGACGCACATCAGCAGATTAATATACATTTCTGAGATATTGATCGAGCATGAAAAATGTCAAAGTATGACCGCTGAAAATGTAATCATTTATTTTTTTAAATTTAATGCATTTCCGTGACGCTCACAAATCTTCAAGTAAAGAATGTTAGTATTACTATAAGCGATACTTACCTTCAACAACAGGAGGTAAGCTCTCAAAGGAGGCACTGGTGTATGAAGTGTCTGTGTACTGAACTTCTTCCGGTTCAGGTTCGAGGTCCGTCGTAAGCACCAGTTCCTCTTGAACTTCGACATCTGGAAAACAAGTAGTGAAAGCTGTTTTAAAAAACTGGTTACAGACCGTCTTGGTACACACGATAAATAAATAATACATTCCGAAAACGCGTGATTTACTTTAAAATATTTAAGCTGTAATATATTCGACTTAGAGTCCTTAAGGAAAACAGCGTACCAATTCTTAAAAGGCCGGCAACGCACTCGTGATTGACTCGCATTAAGAGTGTCCACAGAGCGTGCACTGTAAGCGTGCGCTGTGTCTGTGATAGATTTTGGACCTCAGAGTCATGCCAAAATACGTAAGTAGAGGAACAGTATATAATGCCTTCAAAAAAAAGAACGTACCAATTCTAAAAAGGCTGGCAACGCACATGCAAAGCCTCTGGCATTGAGTGTCCATGGGCGGATCACTTAGCATCAGATGAGCCTCCTGCCCGTTTCCCCCTGTTCTATAATAAATCGGTACTTACGAATTAACGACACCGCGGCAAAAACTCTGGTAACGATTTAGATATTCGTCGCACCGGAAACAGTTATTTAAATAAAATACTAATATACTAACCTAACCAAACAATAAATAATAAAATGCCTGTGCTTTGGTACGCAAGGGTGGAGGGGCTGCATTTCCCGTAGCGCGGGAGCATAATTTTTGCCGCGATGGCGTTAAATACGTAAGTACCAAAAATCCATCTGTTTCTATAAATATTTTTATTTTACAGGCATTCAGCCTTTTGGACACACGTCGACGATTATTGGGTCGATTTCCTCACGATGTTCCTTTACCAAGTGTTACCTGTTTGTGCATTCCCCACAACCCTGTGATCTACTAAAATATGCACTGCGTTTTTAATAATATTATATGATTAATAGTAATGTAAATAAATAATGCGTATTACCTTGAGGTGGTGGTTCGCCCTGAAAAATAAACAGTTTTTAAACAAATTTATTTCATAATTGGTCATTAAATACTAAGCCTAGATCTAACCTTTTTCTTATCTTTTTTCCCCATTATTTACAAAAACGTTTACAATATAAGTTATACCAAAAAAATGTCAAAAACGTCATGACAAAGCCAACTGAATTGAAAAGGCAAAAGACAAGATGTATAATTGACATACATCCTTACATATCTGTGGTGTAAATGAAGAAACTTTTGACAGACCTAGCTAAGGAGTGTGTAGGAAATTAAACATAATTAGTAGCTAATGTTTTATTGCGCGTAGGAAGAACGACCGGCGCTACCAAATGTACACTACACACTGTCGCAATACAAAATGTTTGGTATTTGGTATACATAGCCCCTACAATATTAAGGTGCAATACGCTCTTGAAGGCATTGTATACTGTTCCTCTTATTACGTATTTTGGCATGAAGTTTGTCCCAACCATATTTCTGTCATAAATAAAGTTTTAAGCTATTACATAGATTTTATCGCGGGCTTTGAGCGTGGCGACCGAATCAAGAAATTCCATAACGAAAATAAAAACCTAACACACGATGACGTAATATAGGTGCGTCCAATACGCGTTAGAGCGGGACAGAACGCATACTGCGTATTCACATCTCTCTGACGAGATCGGTGACGTAGCGTAAGCGCGGCTGGTGCATAGTGTGCATAGGTGTGTTAGTCTGAGTCTGGTAGAGTTGAATTAATATCAAAGAAAAAAAATACTGCATAAATAAATAATTATAATTGAATAAGTTGATAAAATATGCTTTACCGCGGCAGTCCCCGAATGCCATTCGTGTAAAAAAAAAAATTTAAGTAACTTCAATTATGACCTTTATATCATACGCTTTTCATTATTTTAGAATGAAAAAATTCGTGCCTTAATATATGCAATTTAACAAGTAAACCACATTACGGGTGCAGAGTAACCTTTGTTTTGAATGTTGTTAAGGCTTTTGATAAACTGATCCAATCAAAGATTTTCTTCATTTATTCACTCTGATAAAATTTTTTGGTGAAAGTAAAATTAGTTTAAAGGTTAAACTAAAGTTAAAGTTAGTTACTTTTGAAAGTGTTTTATGAATATAGTCCAAGCAAAAGCTAAATATCTATTCCTAAAAATATAGGAAGTACTGCACTACTTAACACCAGTAATATTTATGAACCCAACCTTGTGTTCGCAACGACTCGTTCCGATGAATTTTAAAGCAGCCTTAAGCCTTGATTATGTATCCAATGACATGACAATCGATTCAGTGCTTCCAGTGAACCGCGCGCGAACACTCATTATTAATTAGAAATTCAATTGAGTGACTTAACTCTTTTTTAGTCTAATTCAGTGATTTGTAATTGGTAAGTTTTGTTTGAACGTTTCTTTATGAAGTGATAAATTAGTTTTATTGTGTGTTTCCAGCACAAATTCGCTTTTGTTATAACTTGTAAGTAAGGAAACGTAAATCCCCTAAGCGGTATAGGGCTAACATTTTTTTTTGCTGTTTCCTTTTATTTATATATATATATTTTTTTAGTAAATTTAATATGATTTTGTCCCATTCGGTGTCGAGACCCTTGGTCCGTGGGGTCCTAGCGCTTTAAGGCTTTTTAAAGAAATTTCAAAAAGGTTAGTCGACATCACAGGAGACCGAAGATCTGGCAGCTACCTCGGACAAAGAATTAGTCTAGCAATTCAAAGGGGGAACGCTGCTAGTATCTTCGGAACCTTGCCTAAAGGGACTCCTTTTAATGATATATTTTAGTTTATGTTAAGTTTAGTTATTTATTTCAATGTATATTATTTTATTATTAGTTTTATGTATAATTTTTTTTAGTTAACATGATCGTCAGTCACTGTAGTATGTAGATGTTATTTTAAAATACAGCAAGGATTTATATTTAAGGATTACAAATACAAAATCCTCAAAGGAGGTTTATAATCGCAATTTTCTTAGTTATGCACAGATTATGTTAAGTTTAGTTATTTATTTCAATGTATATTATTTTATTATTAGTTTTAAGTATAATTTTTTTAGTTAACATATTATATTAGTATGTAGATGTTATTTTAAAAATACAGAAGGATTTATATTTAAGGATTACAAATACAAAATCCTCAAAGGAGGTTTATAATCGCAATTTTCTTAGTTATGCACAGATTATAAATTGTTAACAAAATAGTATTTAAGGATTATTTATGTATAAATACAAATTATTTGCTTAAGATTCACAAAAGAGGTTTTAAATCGACATACACTGTTAGTTATGCACAGATTAAAAAATGAATAACGAATAGCAATAATGTAAATAATAATAGTAATAATTATGTTTATTCTAGTTTGTTCCAATTTTTCCTCAGTGCATGAACAAAAATGCTCTCAGTGTAGTATAAAAATATTGTTTACGATTATTTTGTCAAGGTTTTGTAACTATAAACTCAACATGCAAGATTTTTTGCAAGCAATTGAAATTAAAGACCACTCGCGATTCTAGGTTGCAATAATTAGTTGATTATAACATATAACATGTTATATGAACTTGAGCTTCACATTATTACTAATTCATTGTAACACAAACGTTAATATCATTAATTCAAATTTATGTAACAATATCGTTCAACGGTTATACTTGAATGAACATATAAAATTATGACGGTTTCGACGTGGGTTAGAATGGGTTCAATCTGGAACATAATCAGCGGCGTAACAATAGGGTGGCACGGCTGGCAAAATGCCACGGGACCCAAGAGATATTATGTTAAATGTATGAATGTGAAGTCTCCAATACGCATTGGACTAGCGTGGGAACAGACCATTCCCTCTCGCCTAAGAGAGGAGGCCTATGGCCATTAGTGGGACATATATAACGGGTAATTGAGTACGCTGAAAATCTCGAAGTTTATTAAAATTAATCTGAGCAGGGACGATTTTTACTGATAGGGCCCCAACAAAAGAATTTGCCACGGGCCCCAGATGGTATAGTTACGCCACTGAACATAATCCAAAGAACTAAATTGAGAATCTCCGTTATGCCAATTGCATGTGTTTATACAGGGAGGAAATCGAAGTTCAAGTTCTTTCTTGATTTAGGATGATATGTTGGAGTGGTATTTTCACTCAAAGAACGGAATATTTTTTTTGAGAAACAACTTAAAAGCAAAAAACCCCAACCCCCCCTTTTTTTTTAAAAACAAACCCTTTTTAAAAAAAAAAAAAAAACGGGGGGGGGGGGGGGGGGGGGGTTTTTCCAGGGGGCCCCCCCCCCCCCCCGGGGGGGGGGGGGGGGGAAAAAAAAAAAACCCCCCCCCCCCCCCCCCCGTGGGGGGGGGGGGGGGTTGGGAGGGGGGGGCACCCCCCCCACCCCAAGAAGGAGGAAAAAAAAGAACAGGGCGTTGGGGGCGAGGCACAAAACTTTTAATTTTTTTTGAATTCCGTTAAATGTGGGGAGGGAAGAAGAAAATGTGTGCCTGTCCTCCTCAAGGAAAAAAAAATTTACAAGTTACCCCCCCCCGGAGGGGGAAAAACACGATTTGTTCAACGCACAAACAAAAGTCCTGCAAGAGATCTGATAGTCTCGTAATGCACGACGGACGTCGCACTTTAATATACTTTATTGCTATTAGATTTTTTTAAATTTAATAAGTAACACGTAAAGCAAAAATCGCAATTTACTACAATTCATTTACAAAAATCTGCGCATACAAATTAATGCTAAAGTCGAGAGGTTAAGAAAGGTGACACTTAACGCGTGGGTTTTATTTTTTAACTTTGATATTTTGCTAATTTTATAACGATACTAGCTGATCCGGCAAACGTCGTTTTGCCATGTTTATCATTTATAATAAAAAATAGGAGTTGATCGTAGAGGTGTGAAAATTAGGGGTTGTATGTATTTTTTAATGTTGTATCAAAAAAAAAAAAAAATTATCTAAAAATTGAAAAAAAAAAATTAGGGGTGGACTACCCTTAACATTTAGGGGGATGAATAATAGATGTTGTCCGATTCTCAGTTATACCCAATATGCACACAAAATTTCATGAGAATCGGTCAATACTTTAAATCAACCTACTGATCAGTGGCTTAATGGACTTTCTTTCATGTACCACAAACGAACCGCGAAGGAAAAAAAGAAAGGAATAAAAAAAATAGAATTTTATAATATTAGATTTGTTTCAATATCTGAAAGTCGTAGTTTAGGCTATTGTAACTAACATATTAATAATCATATGGACTGCTTGAATAAATAAATAGCTATTTTGGACTCAGTTAGCATTAATTATTGTAAACTGTAAGTTAAATGTTTGAAATCGTGTTCAATAGCTTTTTGTGTGGGATCGTTGTATATACAAAGTAGCGTTCTTCGTCTTCTTTGGACTAAATGATGGATATAATTTTGGAAGCTTTCATTTACAAACTGTTAGGAAAAAATAAAGTTTATTTATAATAATGTAATAACATACATGGGCCATTGTACTAGACTGTTTGGGATATTATTAATTTTATGATTTAATATACATACTTTAAATCTAACCTACTGATCAGTGGCTTCGAACCCCGACTGTGCACCAATGGACTTTCTTTCTATGTTCCTCCCCCCCCCCCCCCCCCCCCCCCCCCCCCCCCCCCCCCCCCCCCCCCCCCCCCCCCCCCCTGCGCATTTAACACCGAACCGTGAAGGAAAACATCGCGAGGAAACTGGCTTGCCTTAGGGCGTAAACGGCGCGGCGTGTGTCAGGCACAAGAGGAAGATTACCTACTTGCTTATTAGATTGACAAACGATCATGAAACTAATACAGAAATCTGAGGCCCAGACCTAAAAATAATGTAGTGCCGCTGATAAAAAAAAAGAAAATAAAAAAAAAAAGCAAAGGTTGGATTTTTTATTAAAAAAAAAAAAAAGAAATGTAAAAAAAAATTTTTGTTCAAAACCTGCTAATATAATATTTAGGCTATTGTAACTAACACATTAATAATCATATGGCCTGCTTGAATAAATAAATAATTATTATTATTATATTCATGAGAGCTACTCATGTCACACGTCTTTTTAACCTAGTTTAAACTGTTACTTAAATGGTTTTTAAACTAACACGTGAATAATAAACTACTTTTGTAGATTTAAATAATTGTAAAGTCATTGTAGCGTAATTGAATCTTATTTGGACTAAATTATAATACAATTTGTAAGCTTTGAACGTACAACAAAGTATGATAAAAAATCCAAGTTTAGTTTTATAAGTCAGATTGTTTTCGACAGATTTTGTCATTATTAACATATATGCTAATGAGGAAGTCGACTTCTTAAACATGTAATATGTAATTCCAAGGATTGCAATGTTTAATAACCTCTTTGGTGGATATAGAGGGAAATGTGACAGTCTATCGCTGACTACGATGGCAACACTCGAATAATCGAGTTATTAAATGTAATAAATATACGTTTATATCTTTTTTAATGTTCGTTCGTGAATTGATTTGGATTGGAAGTTGATGAAGCTAACATTTATATTAAACACAAATTCATTACAGGGTAGGTATGCATAACGTGACCAGCCTTGCGATTCTGTAACTCACTTTTCGAACTCTCACAGCGGCGGTCGCGCATCAAATAGTTTCGCCTAAAGAAGTCATTTTACGATTTGTGCATTTCGAATTTAAAAATAAACTGACAATGTGAAGTTTACTGTTTTCAAAAGAATTTGCAGGGCCCCAGATGGTATAGTTACGCCACTGCGACGTGGTAAACAAAATACTAGGCGTTAATACTTTGTCCTGGCGTGAAACTTGAGTGATTTATACAGATTTTTGTTACAGAAAATGGGGTTCCTGGAGGAGCAAGATCTTAGTAATGTGCCCAGTATCACAGAATACTATAAGGGAAAGACTATATTTGTTACTGGAGGCTCAGGTATATTTTTTAAATTATTTAGTTTTATGTTAGTGTGTTGCCCTAGTGGCTTCAGCGTGCGACTCTCATCCCTGAGGTCGTAGGTTCAATCCCCGGCTCTGCACCAATGGACTTTCTTTCTATGTGCGCATTTAACATTCGCTCGAGCGGTGAAGGAAAACATCGAAGAAAACCGACATGTCTTAGACCCAAAAATTGGACGGCGTGTGTCAAGCACTGGAGGCTGATCACCTACTTGCCTATTAGATTTAAAAATGATCATGAATCAGATTCAAAAATCTGAGGCCCAGACTTAAAGAGGTTGTAGCGCCACTAATTTTTTTTATATTTATTACTTGCAATGCGGTTCCGATGTTTTATTTATTTATTGATTGTCAGCGGAGTGGAAGTTGACATGGAAAATTCGTGGAAATATCGTCAAAATGTAAAAAGGATAGTAAACAATCATTTCAAAATGAGTTATCATTCTTGAGTTCATAATTATTATTTTTAATATTGTGTAAGATCACTACTGCGATGTACATCCGCGATTCTACGCATGCCTGTATAGTTATCTCTCTCTCTCTTCAGTCAGTAGCTGGTGGAGGTAGATGGTACCTGTAGTGGATTATCATATTATAATAACTCACTTTGACCATTAAAAAGAAGAAGATAAGTTACTTGGGACATGTGCTACGACACGAACGGTACCGACTTCTTCAAGTCATAATGATGGGCAAGGTTGAGAGGAAAAGAGGAGCTAGCAGAAGGAGGAAGTCGTGGCTCCGCAATATCAGATAATGGACCGGAGTGGCCAGCGTAGAACAGCTGATGCGCTTGGCGAAGAATATGACGAGCTGACCGCCAACCTCCAATAGTGGAGAGGCACTATAAGAAGAAGAACTGGATATCATCTACCTCTACCTATCTGTAGTGGAGTCCGATAAATATTAAAAGGACGTTTTGTGTAAATGGGGGGAATTATATTTTTAGGTTTCATGGGCAAGGTGCTGCTGGAGAAGCTTCTGTACTCCTGTAGCGACCTAGACAGGATCTATGTGCTGTTGAGGAGTAAGAAGGGAGTTAATCCAGAGGATCGTTTGGCTGCCTTGTATGCCTCGGAAGTTTGTACCAATTTTCTTTGTTTAATAGTTCATTACCAATGTCATGAAACGATGCAATTAAAGATATATGAATATCTAACATCAACAAATTAGTTATTATTTTAATTATGTTTAGTTGCATAATTAAAATAATAACTAATTATTTTACACAAACACATAGTAGAACTATTTCAGTTTACTCAGCGGATTGTAAAAAAAGTTAATGTATTTACTTGAATAGTGTACACAGCGAATCATATGTGCTTTTTGACGGTTAGTCCGAGATGTGTCATGAAGTCGCTTTCTGACGTACCCAACAGGCACACTTACGCCCGAACCCAATAATTAATCCAAAATCTCAGATTAAAACAATCTGAGATCAGACCGTGACAGTCGATCGATCTCCTATCTGCTTCCCAATAACCAAACCCTACGAGACAATTCTTTTTTGGCGACGGATAAAATGCTCTTTGACGTTCCATTTTACCGAGTTTTTACTCATATTTTATAATCAATGTAAACCAAATAAAGTAAATAAAACCGTACAAATGGCATTAAAATATACATGTGTATGTTTAAAACATAACAAACAGTTTTTTTAATTATTTAAAAAAACTGGTGGAAGTTAAAATCTGCTAAAATAATTTACTGTTAAAATCGAGCTATCGTCAACTGTCATTTTCATACAAAGGTATATCCACAAACACCGATACGACCTCCCATGGATAGCTTGTATCGACAGATGGCTATTACCATGCGTTGATTGGTTATTGGCACACTTGTTACAACATTACGATTAAGATTACTATCTCAGATGGTGGATTATGGATTGAGATAGGTTATTGGGTTCGGGCGTAGAGCTGTCGTTGCCATGTAACAATTTCATTAAGTACGTTCATATTATTAGTATATTAGGGATAAGTACGACGATCGTGTCATAAAAGTAGGATTCTGACTTACAGAAGTCATGAAAGCTCTTATAGTGGTGACGTAAAAGATTTATGCAGAAGAAGTACTCACTTGTGATCAGCTGTTTCTAGACTTTCTTTGTTTAGACGCATTTGTTATCACGTAATTAAGTGACCATCACAAATGTAAAAATGGTTTTATTAAAAAAATCGTTGTCTATACAGTCGGTTTACGGACGATAGTTTAACGTGACATCGTCATAACATCATGGATGAAATGATTGCGTACTTTGAATAAAATTGAATCATTTTTATTGAATTATCACTATTTTGTATGGATACAAAGAAGGAGTGAATCCTCGAATGCATAGTCCATTCTAGTGGAAGAGAGATAGATGCGGCGCAAGCGTACAATGAGCGTAACGGGACAATGGGTTATGCTGCTTCGTGTGTGCATCATCGATTTATTAGATGTTGTCACTTCAACAACTTTTTTCCTTGACATATATGTAGGTACCTAAAAATATCATATACATATTTCGAGTTCAAGAAGTTTTAAGATAAAACTAAATAAAGGAATATTCTTAAGTATCGGATATTCGGTTGTATCTAAAACAAAAAATATATTTTAATTTACTTTAAGTATCTATTCAACCTACATAGTAATAATAATAATAATAATAAATTAATAAATAGAAAATTAAAACAAATTTAAAAAGTTTGGTCCCTGTGGCAGTGTACTTTTAATGCTGGCAGCATTTACTCCTCTATTATTAAATAGTAGTTTTACAGTTATATAAAAAATAAATAAACCTTCGTTTTGTGACAATTATAATAATATAAAAGCGAAATTAAACATAACATGTCCTTGTTTGAAGACCCAAAGACGAAAAAAATCACCGAAACTTGTTTGGGTTTGTAGGTGAATATTTTACCTTCCGCTACGTATGGTGATTATATAAAAATATTACTTAATTCCGATATTTCCGGATAATTAAGACTAAGCGCGAACTAGGCCTCTTGCTTAACAAAATTCTTTTTTCGTACTTAGCGCTAATAATCCCTTCTGAATTCCCTATAGATAAGCTGTAGTTCTTTGTCTACTACTTTCAATCAGTTTTTATCTTTTTTTATTACAGAGTGAAATTTGACAGAACTATTACTTAGCTTGAAACACTTTTATATAAGGCATAATTTAATCTTGAAAGGATATCAACGTATTTAATACATTTTATATAAATCGACGTACCAATTGTCTTACAGTAATCATGGTCAGTGACTAAGGAGACTGTACGCTAGTAATTCTTTTCGGACTTATACTAAAATTACTCAAAATGAGTAAGTTATACCAAAGACTAAACTTAAGTTTTTAAAAAACTTTTGCGAACATGCAGTTAAAAACGTACCTGATATTACCGCCTTAATTCGCTAATTGGATTTCGATTTTAGATACTTACTATTTCCATACTTCTTTGGTTAATTATGAAATCTTAAAATACAATCGTTAAAACTTATAGTTCACTTGTTAAAATAAATATAGCGAGGTTGGTATAGATAGGTATGATTAGTAGGTATTGATCTACTTCATTTTGAATTACTGTTATTTCTTATCCAGTTTTTGTATATTCTGTTAAAGAAATAAAATAATAAATTTTATTTTTCCTGGCATAAGTTACGCCACGCAACTTACGTAGTGGATTGGCCTTCGATCGTGGGAGCTAGGAAACAATGATAGGTAACCCGATTTCCCTTATTATGAAACCTAAAACCTAACTTTATGATTATAAATTTTACAAATCATTGACTTTAAGATTAAGAACGATTTATTGCGTTTGGTCGAGCGGAAAACGGATCATGGATAATGGGATGCTGTAGACCAATCACGAGCAAACGAAACACGCAATAATTTTGTCTTTTACATTTTTACCCGGTTATTTTACGCAGTGATGCCAACATGGGGGTTTTCCCCTCAAATTTAGGGAGAATCAACGGGCCTGGGATTTTTTATTCAAGATTTTTTTTTCTTAAAAAAGACGCTTAGGCCTCGAACCCAATCATCAAACTAAATTAAATATAAACACCAAGCATGGCTATAACTGAAATATCAAAAAGCCAACAGCTCCAACATCGATTAATAATAATATCGATAATTATCTAATGTATTTTGAATTCACATTTGAAATAACCTCTTCAACGAAACGTTAGGGGTGTAGCTTGCCAGCCAGTGGACTGTGAAATGTGTGTTTAAATTTATATGTATTAATTGTCAGGAGTATCTGTAATCGGTATAGTATATGTAGTGTATGTATGCAGCATGCAATAGATATCTAAATATATGAGGCGTTTTAATCGTTATTTAGGGGTATTTGTAGTTCTGTAGGAGGCATCACTGATTTTACTGTCACCGTGATAGAAATGGGGCAGTGAAATACTTATTTTCTCAACACGGTTTGTGATATTGTTTGATAGCATAACCTACCGAAGTACATTTCATTTCCATTATTATGTTACGTTCCAAAAGGTTATGAATATATCATTACAAGTGTACAAACTATGGGGGAAGGAGGGGAGGGGGGGGGGGGGGAAAAAAAAAAGGAGGAAAAAAAAGGGGGGGGTTCCGGTGACCGGTGAAAAAAAAAAAAAAAAAAAGGAAAAAAAAAAGGGGGGGGGGGGGGGGGGAAGGGGGGAAGAAAAAAAAAAAAAAAAACAAAAAAAACACCCCGCCCGCGGCGGAAAGGGGGGGGGGGGGTTAAATAACCCCCAAAGGGAAAATTCCCCACTAATCAAAATTTATTTGAGAGAGGAAAAAAAGGGAGGGCAACAAAGTGTAAAAAAATTCATCAAGTCATTCTGAATTTGAAATTCATATTAGTTGTTTAAAACATTTAAATATTTAAAACGGAATTTGCCAAACAAAAATTCGAGAAATCGACAATGTTCCAAGAGAATTCAAAATTACATATCGGAATTTATGGACACAACTGCATGCCGCTATGATTCAAATATCATTAAAAAGAATATATTTAGTTTAAAGCCCTGGCTTGAAGTCGATAATTAATGTCTTCGACGTTGCCCCCCGCCTTTGGCCGCGGGGGGGGGGGGGGGGGGGGGGGGGGTGGGGGGGGGGTGTTTTGGGGGGGAAAACGGGAAAGTTTTTTTTTGGGGGTTTTACGGGGTTTTGGGTTTTTTGATTAAAAAGGAGCAAATTTTTTTAGGGGGAAGGGGAAACTGCGTGCCAACAAGGATCATTTTATGTTATGTTCTTTACAAAATATCAATTTTAAGCGCCCAGGAAAGAGTAGGAATAATCAGGGATGGCCCTTTAGGTGAACTTTGGGGGCCCTCTAGATATGTCAGCTTATGAGACAACGTAGAAATAAAGTAACATATATCATCATCTGACTTTTAAAATTATTTTTTGCAAATTAAGAAAATGGCTGTGGGTTTGCGTCCCATCGAAATCGTCAGATTAGTGAATGAGAGATTTTTTTTGGTGCACTTAACACTCCCTTAGAAAATCTGACGCGCTCGATAATTTTTTTTTTTTTTAATTTTCAACCCTTAAATACAACCACCCGCATCATGCAAACGATCAGATTAACATACGTACATTATTAAAAATACGTAGGGCATAGATGCTATCAATATCTGACGCGCTCGAGGATGTCCATGCAACAGTTTTTTTTACATATTTAACTATCTATAGCCGCTTCCCCCACCGATGAAAAGGAATTTATCATATAACATTTTTTTCTTCTTTTTATCTGGATTTTTTTTTTTCCCCCCGCCCCCCCCCCGGCCCGAAAAAAAACCCCTTTTTTAGGGGGGGGCCCCCCCCCCAAAAAAAGAAAAAATTAAAAAATTTTTTTAAATAAAAATTCATATTAGTTGTTTAACTATTTACAATATTTAAAACGGTTTGAAATTCGTCACAATGTTCCAAGAGAATTAATTACATATAATTTATGGACACAACTGCATGGCTATGATTCAAATACTATTAAAACAGAATATATTTAGTTTAAAGGCTTGAAGTCGATTTAATGTCTTCGACGTTGCCAAAAAAGGATGCATATGTCATCTTACACAATACGAGGGAAAGAGTAGAATAATCGCGCGCCAGCATATAAGAAAGCAGCATATCCATGTAACATAATATATCATCATGTGACTTTTAACTTGGCTTTTGTTTCAAGTTGGCCTAGTGATATTAGCATCCAAATCTCAGCCCTGAAGTTTAATTCCCGGACAATGGACTTTTCTATTTGTACACTGTACAACACTCGCTAGTACGGTGAACCTAAAAAAAAACGACGGCATGTGACAGGCACAGAATCTATGTATCTATTGTCTATTAAGAAAAATAATTTATAAGGTATAAAGCGGGCCATAGACGGACCGCATGTTGCAGCCGATACCGACTGCCCTAAGCGGTCGCCGCACGGTGATCTGCAGTTTCCATACTAAATTCATATTCGCAATACACGGACCGCTCGAGCAGTTCCTGAGCAAACCGCATATTGCAGTCGGTCTTGACAGCAACATGCGGTCCGTCTATGGTCCGCTTAAGAAGGTTTTATAAATTTTCTACAACTTTGGAACATATTTTAGTAAAAAAGTTAAACTATCATCAAAACCATTATCCTTAATGATCAAAGAGAAACCCTATTATATGGAAGTTAAAAATTGTTAATGCCTATTAGTGAGAACTATTTTTAACTGTACTGTATTTTAATTTTCAGTGCTTTTCCCGACTTCGAAAAGAAAAGCCTGGCCTCTTCGAGTCCAAGGTATTCTTCATAGCCGGAGATTGCAGCGAAATCGGGCTTGGTGGGTGTACTTATATTTTCTCGCAGTTCCAATGGGAAAATGGTTAAATTGTTTTTTAAGTCAAGTAAAAGCAGTGATGTGTGAACAATGATGACGCAAGAGAGTTAACTACTAAGTAATTCAATTTAAGATTGCATTAAAAGGCTATGCTCTGTAGTTTGTTCTTGACAATTATATATTTACTTGGCTTAAAGGTCTCGTTACAAGGCTATAAAATTAAAAAAAGAAGACAATTTCATAAATTTATTTTATTTATATTTTGCCGTGATCTATTTTAATTCTACTAAATTAGCTTTAGGAAAAAAACATAACTTATGGGTGTTGTAATAATTATATTCATAATTTGTGCATTTAAATTTTCGTATGTTTAGTATTATATAGCAGGAAACTATAATTCTCCTGCGGATGTCCGTGTCAAACCATCTTACCTTGGAGCCAAGGGCAAACATTTTTATAAAGAGCATAAATCTTTAAATATTCTGCGCAAATATTTATGGATACGCAATACTTTTTGCTATATTTACTTCATAAGTCCTTTATAACATTAAAAAATGCTTTTTCACAAGCAAATTTACTAACAACCTTTTAACGAAATGCATCTTTTTAATATTTCGATTCTTTATTTTCATTTCAAAAATGTGTGAAATAGAATGTTCGAAATGTTCTACGGCGTATTATTGATAATTTGGATTAGATAAATAATTACATGTGTTTTCTTAAAGGTATGTCCGAAGAAGATAGAGCCTTAATCGTAAATCGGGCTCATATTGTTTTCCACGTTGCCGCATCTGTCAGGTAATTATTTGGTTAATTTAGAAATATATAAATGGTCATGTAGGAGATGCAAAAATATGTATCTTTTCAATCAGACATTATTTAATTAACCTTAATTTATTTAATTATTCTTATGTGTTTTAAATTTCTTTTCTTTTTCCATTACCATTTGAAATTGTTTGTTCTAAGTTTGGGGGTCCAAATAAAAAATATTCTTAAAGTTACATTGTTTCGGGTTACCCGAATCTTTGCAAAATCGCTATGAACATGATGATACTACTAAAGAGTTTCTATCAGAATGCCCGATGCCGTGAAAGAACTCAATATTTATAATTACAAACTGAAAATTATTGGTAATTTTTAAGGTTCGACGATACTTTAAAAGTAGCCGCAGGACTGAACCTAAGAGGTACAAGGGAATTGGTAGAGCTCGCTAAAGAAATAAGGAATTTAGAAGTAAGTATTACGTTCTCATGGATCTATGCCAAAATTAGGGTCATTGCCCTTTCTAAACATAAATGTTTATTATGGAGTATAAGATACAGGTATTACTTATTCCACGTCATTAAATTTGAATCGGTAGACATCCCTCCTCATCGGCAAAGAAGACAAAGGGCGTAGGCCGAGAGAAAAAGCCGGCGTAAAAAACTTTTTTAAAATAACAAATGACTATGTCAAACAACACTAATTTTAAAACAAATATAGCAAATAAATTAGAAGTAACCTGTCCCCACTAGTCCCAGGCCCTTTTATCAACTAGATAATCGGTCACATTATAGTAAGCCTTTTTACACAGCTTTTCTTTAATACATTTCTTAAATTTATTAAAAGGCAGAGATAAAAGAGCCTCTGGGATTTTATTAAAGAAAAGTATCCCTTTTCCCAAAAAAGAATGACTAACTTTGGATAGTGTAGTACGGGGAAATTGCTACCTGTGTTTGTTCCGAGTATTAACATTATGCGTATGTTCTATTCTAGTAAACTTATCACTATTTTTGTATACATACCTACATAATATTTTCATAAATAGTTTGAGGGGGAAACGTAACTATATTAATTTCCTTGAATTAATATAATCAGAGATTCCCATGAAGCTTATGAACTTGACTAGTAGAATTTCCAAAAAATCTGACATTTACACGCTATTTCAATGGCCGTTTATATAATCAGTGGCCCGGCGTTGACTCAAAAGGGTAGCACAAACTTAAGAAAATGTATGTTTCAGGTTTTACTACACGTATCTACATCATACGCGAACACAAACCGCGAGACCATTGATGAAGTGGTTTACCCACCGCACGCTAATTGGAGAGACACGCTAGAAGTATGTGAGAAGATGGATGAAGAGACTCTAAAGCATTTAACACCTAAGTGAGTATGACATGGTATTATGGGTAAATTTTTAAGCAATTATTATTTCCTCTCTGCATATTAAGTAGCAATACCGAACTGTCAAATAACGTATCTCCATTAACACGTTTTGTGACTCTGAATTTTAACTGTTTACTTTACAAGGAGTAAGTATACTTAACCCTTGATCATACAAAATACACATCAATCATTGCAGCCTTGCGGTCGCGCTCAAATCAGTCGTGAAGCAGTCATTTTAGGATTTGGCAGTCTGATAAGGAGGGAGCTTGTAGTTTATTGTTTATCAGAATGCCAAATCGTAAAATGACTGCTTCACGACTGATTTGAGCGCGACCCCCGCTGCGAAAACCGCTGTGCGAGTTCGAAAAGTGAGTTACAGAATCGCAAGGCAGTGCGGGCGGGCTATTTGACAGAAAGAGACGAAGTGTTTTAATTAGAAAGTTAGATTTTCTCTTCATGAACAATTTGAAACAAAATCCTATTTTAAATACTTTTAATCGCTTAGGATTCTTATGGTATATTCTCGTGGAAGTGTGAAACATAATTTTATATACTTTCAGATATCTAGGAGAATTACCGAACACATATGTATTTACGAAGCAGTTGGCCGAACATGTGATATATGAGCAGAAGGGCAAGTTGCCGGTCATTATAGCGAGACCTTCCATAGGTTAGTGTTGGGCCATCAATATTTGAATATTTTTACTTAGCTTCAGTGTCTCATCGAGAGAAAAACAGAATTCATTTGAACCATTTTTTATGTATGTTTAGACTTACAGATTCTTGGATTAAGAAACAATAATTAAATAGACAGTTTTTGTGCACCACGGCTCTGCTCAGAGTAGTATTTTACGAGCAAGAGACAAAAGTCAAACTCATTTATTCATATAGGTAACACAATGTACACTTATGAACGTCAATATATATACATATATATATATATGAAATGCTTCTAATTTTAAATTTACTGCCAGTTCTCAAATCAAGGGCGTAGAACGGAAGAGAAGAACTGGCAATAAATTATCCACCACTCTTTTTAATCGCCAAATTGTTTGTTTTACACAACGTTTGTAAGGAGCTGCAATTACACCATGTTCGACATGACATCTTAAGTAATAAATAATAATAAAATATATTAAAAACAAATATTTATCCTCTATCAGAAGGAGGCATGGTGAAATAGGACAGCAGTGTTGGTCTAGAGGTTTATGAGGTCGTAGTTTCGAATCCCGGTTGTACCAATGAACTTTTAATACTCGCTCGTACTATAAAAGAAAACATCGTTAAGACACCAGCATGCCTTAGATCTACAAGTCAACGGCTTGTGTCAGACATGGATGTCTGATTAATAGAAAATAATAATAATTACGAGATCGAGAGAGAGAATCTGAGGCCCAAAGCTGAAAGGCACCATTTTTAGTGGAAAATAAATATTTTTATCTGTTATTTCTTTTTTGTTTAATTTTTTTCTATCTAAGTGATTCTTTATCGTTGAGCACCTATTGAGCGCTGTAGTCCAGCGTCTCATCATCGCTATTTGCTGATGATGGAGCAATATCTGATCGCATCACCAAGGGACTGCTAAAATTAAGCGTACATATATATATTACCATATTTCTGTAGTTGAATAGATATTTTGTTTTGTTTATTTGTTATGTAATTTTTTTTATTTTTTTTTATCAGCGGTGTTTTTAAAAACCTATAATAGTAATCATGAATTTAGGTATAGTTAGACGTGTACATACATTGTATTGTATACATGTATGTAAAGATATATATATATATTTTTATAATTAATACTTTCTTATTTACAGTAATTTCCGCAATCGAGGAACCTTTGCCAGGTTGGATTGAAAACTTTAACGGTCCCGTTGGACTACTGATTGCTAGTGGAAAAGGTAACTTTTTAATCAATATATGTATTTCTTTAAAATCTGGTGATATGTGAAGGAAGAAAGGTGCTGCTCTTCCTCCGACCTAATGGGAGGATCCTTGACTAGCCTCACCTGACGGAATAACTTTGTTAACGCGGTTCAGGGTATGGACGACATCCTACTGATTGCCATAGACTGTAGATGTCGCTACAGATCACATGTTAATATGAATTGGATTTTGAATCTACAGAGACCTTACTACGTATATTGGCATGAGTCTGTCTCGCCAAAAACTAACACATACACAGCGCACGCTTAACAACTCTTAAGTTACTACATTATTAAAAAGCCACGCCACGCAACGTGTCGACACCCGATTACGGCACATTAAAAACACGCGACACCACGACACGCTTGCAAATTCTGAAGTCATTTACGCTGGTCATAGACGGACCGCATGTTGCAGTCGAGACCGACTGCTCTAGAGCGGTCGCGTTGAAGTCTTACACGACTGCAATACGACCGCATAATGCAGTCGGCTACGACTGCTTGAAGCAGTTGTGTTCGACCGCAAAATAATACTGATGTGAGTTCATTTACAAGATGAAATTCGATGAAGAAACTCTGCTACTTGTACTACTATTACGCAAGCGCCACCGTAGTTTGTGGTGCGTCCAATACTACAATCAAGAGAACAGCATAGAATATTTCATACTTTGTATCCCCAGCTGAGAGAAGACACTAAAAAGTTTTTCAACTACTTTAGAATGTCCGTGGTTTCATTTGATGAATTAGTTAGTATTTTATTATATTTGAGGGAGTGGCGCACGGTCGGCAGCAACCGCTTGTAGCGGTCCGTGTATGATGGGTCCGGCAGCTCTAAGCAGTCGACCGCACGGCGAAACTCGACCGCAGAGCGACTGCTCCGACCGCTCAGAAACTGGTCGTGCAGTCCGTGTATTGCGGATATGAATTTTAGTATGGAAACTGCAGTTCGCCGTGCGGCGACCGCTTAGAGCAGTCGGTGTCGACTGCAAAATGCGGTCCGTCTATGGCCAGCGTTAGCTGACAATAGTGAAGGTGTATAGTCGCGTGCTAATTGTGCTATGGATTTAATAAATAACGAGTCAGATGAAGATTTGATGCAAATTTTGGGTACATATCTGATACGACCAAAATTGTCATAAAATGCTTTCAAACTGTACTTTTCATTTTGCGACTGTTCAATTTCTACTTCGGTATTATCTTCTTCTGATGTCTCGGGTCGCGTGGCGTAAATACATGCGCACACACACCCATTCACACATACTTAATGTCTTATAAGACTTGTGTTTAATTAGATGTAACACTAAAGCTACTTTTTCTCAAAAAAAATGTATAAACATGTACCATGTACCACTGACTAATTACCCATTTATCCAGAGCTACCCACAACTCAGTGGTGTAGGGACTAGCGATGGATGAATTTCGTCACAACCTTTTTATCACGAATAATGTTTTTATTATTATAATAATAATATTGAGCAGTGTTGGCCTAGTGGCTTCAGCGTGCGACTCTCATACCTGAGGTCGTAGGTTCGATCCCCGGCTGTGCACCAATGGACTTTCTTTCTATGTACGCATCTAACATTCGCTCGAACGGTGAAGGAAAACATCGTGAGGAAACCGACATGTCTTAGACCCAAAAAGTCGACGGCGTGTGTCAGGCACTGGAGGCTGATCACCTACTCGCTATATCACCTACATATACAAATAGGTGTACTATTTCTAGATTTAGAAATGATCATGAAACAGATTCAGAAATCTGAGGCCAAGACCTAAAGAGGTTGTAGCGCCACTGATTTATTTATTTTTTATAATAATATTGAATCGCTTACACACTGATACAGTGGTTCAAGAAAAATAAAAATACAATATTTAATGTGTCAAGCACAGTTAAACTAAAGGACAGTTCATTTAAAAGTGTGAGGGTAACTATGGATATCCGTGTACATATGTGTACATTATTTATTTCATATGATCTGGATTTTCAGGTATTCTTCGAAGTGTGTACTCCGATCCCGATCTGGCTGCAGATTATATACCAGTAGATGTTGCTATTAAGATGTTCATCGCGGGGGCTTGGCTAAGGGGTACCAAGAAGTGAGTATATTTTCATAATTGTGTTCATTCATACTCGAAATAAGACCAACAAAAATATCACATTGAAACCCCATCTGATCTCGTGGTGGTGGAAAGATCGTGTGGAGGAAGGATGATGAACAGTCCTTCAACCTAAAGGGTGTGTGACCACCGACTGGCCCGAAGGACTTAGTGGCTAAGATTGACAAGTTGTATTTATCCTCCAGTAATCCAACGGTTGGGATTACTTTGATAGGTCGATTCTGGATCATCACTGCGATGTGATGACCCAGATGACGGAGAATGTTTTTGTCTCAACAATTGCTAATAGTTTTAGCCTGGGATAAAATAGAATGGCCAAAGTTAAAGGAGGCCTGTGTCAGAGGCAACCTGACCATAAAGCAAGTTGTTATGTTCTTTTTTATAACATACTGACAGAGAATAAAGGCATCAATCCAATATATAATGGTTAATATTATATAATAATTTCCAGATTAGAAGCTACGGATGAAGTGGAAGTATACCACTGTTCCAGCAGTCACATGCAAATAATGACGGTTGGCGAGATTGTTGACAACGGCAAAGAAATCATTCAAGAAATGCCATTCGATAATGTATTGTGGGCGAACAATGGTGGGGTTACTAAGTCAAGATTAGCTTATAATTTAAGGGTAAGAGAGCTTTCTATTATAACTCAGACATTGCCTCGTCAAGTAGTAGTAGGGTTCTACCGCATTAACCACGGAGTGTTCAGATGAGTTGTTCAGATTAATTTCGCAGCTGAGTTTCATCATCGGACGTTACAGCAGAACACGTAAGTCCACATGTATCACCTCGGCGTCCGTCGTTCCATAACTGAGCGTTTTTTAAGGCAGTTTTTGGACCTAGCATTTCCAAACCAATTTTTGCCTTCAGTCCTTTTCGAAAAGAGCGTATCTACCAATTCTTAAAAGGCCGGCAATACACTTAACATCAGGTGAAACGGTGAAATTAGAATGATTTAGTTTTTAAGCATAATTTTTAAGGCAATGTTACAAATACAATAAACTTTTACACACAGTTTACCAGCTAGTGCATAATAAATGACAGAAGTTTTTAAGTGTAATGATAATGTCAAAACAAGATGACTAAATATAAGAGAGGCTAAAACTGAAGCCCTACAGTTGTGCCCTAACATAGTACGTATATATGAACATGAATTCGGGAAGGGAAGGGGGTTCTCTAATAGCCGTTTTTTATACTCTATCCCAATCCAATTTTTACTACTAGAGTACTTCAATCCGTTTCTCATAAACTACTTTTCAATAACCGATCGATAGATCAATGTTTTTGTAAACCATCTTTGGGAGGACCGATCGGTATTTTTGGATTGATATTTGTATGAAAATCAAAGACAGATCGACGCTTTTTATAAAATATCATTGAAATAATTTTAGATTGTAGATCTAGTATAGAAAGCGTCCGTAAGGGCCAGCCTTGCGATTCTGTAACTCACTTTTCGAAATCTCACAGCGGTTTTCGCATCGGCGGTCGCTCTCAAATCAGTCGTAAAGCAGTTATTTTACGATTTGGCATTCTGATAAACAATAAACTACAAGCTGCCACCTTATCAGAATGCCAAATCATAAAATGACTGCTCAGAGGTCTGATGTGATGAAATTTTTATGATAATTAAGGGCTGGTCTTCGCCACTTTAAGAGTTTGCAAAAAAGCACCTTTTTTTTCTTCTACTTATTGTATATTTCACTTCGTATTTTACTATCAACTTTCAGGTTCTCTTATTGCATTTACTTCCGGCTATACTTGTCGACCTCGTGTTGCGAATCATCGGAAGGAAACCTATGTAAGTATATATATAAATATAGGATATATAAAATAAATATATATTTATTCTCAATTATTATTTCTCATAATAATATTATGTACGAAGATAAAAAGGAACAGTCGACTACTAAATTTCATATTTTTTATAAAAAGCGAAATAGTTTTTAGCTTTGAGTTTTCTGTTTTTTTTGTGCTTGGTTTAGGATTGGAAAACAATCAAAAGGCTTGAAAATGTCGTTGTCCAAACTTGTTTTTACCCCTTACCTTTTTTAATTATAAGGTATCAATTCCCAGAGCGGCATTAGCTTTCGAAATCCTAATCCTGTCTCAGTGGCGTTATCAATTAACATTATGTGAACCTCCTGTTTTATAAAATGGCAAGAGATACCGTCTCTTTTTCATTATAAAATAAAATTATTATTAACACATTACATTAAATTTAGATCGGTACACATACCTACTCATCGGCAAAGAAGACAGAGGGTGTAGGCCGGGAGAAAAAGCCGGCGTACAAAACTCTCAGTACTCTTTTAAAATAGTAAATCATACAAAATGACTGTAGCAAACAACACTTATTTTAAAACAAATATCGCGAATTAATTGGAAGTAGCCTGTCTAGCACAAGTCCCAGGCCCTTTATTCAACTAGGTAGATAATCGTTAACTTTATAGTGGGCCTTTTTACACAACTTTTCTTTAATACATTTCTTAAATTTATTAGATATAACAGAGCCTCTGGCATTTTATTAAAGAAAAGTATCCCTTTTCCCATTGGCCTACTAAATTGTACTAGGTATATACGAACCTACTAAAATTAGCTTCCATTCGGGTAAATTATTTCCAGGCTTTTCAAAATACAACGACGCATATACACAGCCAACATCGCCCTTCACCCGTATCTGACGCAGCAATGGAAATTCCTTAACAACAATTTACTGGCCTTACGTGAAAAAATTAAATTGGAAGATAAAAAAATGTTTAACTATGCCGTGGAAATGATTGACCAGCTTGAATACTTCAAGACTGGTGTACGCGCAGGAAAAATGTATTTATTAAAGGAAAAGTTAGAAGATCTGCCGAAAGCAAAAGCGCATTATAGAAGGTATTTATTTTCGTTAATTACTGCTTACTTAAGATAATTAGCACTGAAATCATACGTTGTTAGTACAGATACCGGCAAACATCTTGAACAAATTTCCTTGCCTGCGCAGAAGCGATTTTTAGGTATCACTGGGAGGGAGGGCGGCGGAAAAGTGACGTGTCGATCGCGTGATTGGTAAATTAGTTGACGTTTGTGTCCCGCGATGCTTTCCCCCACTCCCTTGTTTAATGTTCAAGATGTTTGCCGGTATCTGTAACTTAATGTGAACAGTTCGAACATAAGAATTTTCCGAAATTTACCACTTTGCATTAGCCTTAGTTGAAATCCTTAAAATTCTTGAATTACATATAAAATATATTAATGTAGCTGTCAGTAGAGGTATTTCCGAACGGCTTAGAGCCTTTCAAGAAAATAGCGCTGTCAAACCCGTAATCTTCCGGCGGTGCTGGTCTCCATGGGCGGAAGTAAATGCTCACTTCATCCACTTTCATTATTCCTTAAATCAGGTAATGTTAAATGAAAAAAATTATGCTTTCAGAATGGTGATTTTGGATAAAACATTGAAAATCGCCTTATACTCTGCGGTTGCGTGGTACGTGTACAGCAGAGATATCTTGTTCACAGCATTAAGTTATACATATAACGCTATTATCGGGTTGTAATTGTTGGAAATAAAGGTTTTAAATTATTACTGTGTGTGTATATCACTAGCTGCCCCCGCCAGCTTCCGCCTAATTGTGGCCTATGCTAAATACCAACATATGGCACATTTTGCTATGCTACACAATATATATAAGCTATTCGCTGGTAAAGAACCTAACTACAAAATAAAGCTAAAATTTTGAATGTTTTTTTTATTCCCAACTTTTCTCTCAATAAAATCCTTCCTCAGAGTTTATGGAATAAAAATAAAAAAAAACATACTCGAATTGGTAACCTGCCGTCTTTGAGTTTTGCGCTTAGCAATATATTTTGCGATTAATTTTTATGATATAAGTGAAATATTAAACTATTGACTTTATCGACTCAGTTATATATTTAATTTGATCAAAATCAAATCATAATAGCTGAAAAGTTCAGCTTAATATAATTCAGAAATCAAATATAAGTATTAATATAAAATCATTTTGTTCATAGTGAATATCTGAAGCACAATTCACAAACTAAAAAGATATCCAGTGACTATTTGTAGGGAAAGCCTAGCGATTAGAAAGGTAGTGGTTGAGCGTGCAATTCCTAACGAAGCGGTTGTTTAAACCTAGAGCTGTTTATCTTTGCACCTGCTCGTACATTGAAAATAAGCATAGTGATCCTTACATATCTTAAAGAAAATTGTATCAAACCGATGATGAGAAACCTTTAAAGCATTTAAAGCAAAGCAACCATTGCTTGCGGCCAACTTTAAACATACTTGCTACTTTGTGTTATCGTAGACAGGAAATATATTACTTTAATAAGATATTGTAATTTAAAAAAAAAGACGAACTACCAAATGGTAACACCTGGCAACCGTAACGTTGCGGCTGACTCGGCAATCATTTTTTTAAAACATTACATTATTTCCTGTAAGTGACGTAAATTATATTAAAAATACATAGTTGCAATTTATATCAGCTAATTAACATTAATAACTGTACAAAAATTAATTATATGAACTTGCGGCTACTTTTTAATCCTACCGTAATCCATTGTATACTCTCTCAACACTATATATAAACTAAACTTCAAACAAACTAACAACAAAAAAAACTGAAAAGAAAGAAACAAGTTATAAGATGTATAACCAATGTGTGGCCTCGATAATAGGTGCAGATGGCGTGCTGCTAATTAATAAAATGTAATAAGCTTACATACTTACTAAAAGCTTACAAAAATTTAATAAATCAAATCAGAAGAGATTTCTCTCAAATCAAATCTCTTAAAAAATCGATTAGACTGAGTTTCTATGACACTTCGCATTTATGGAATGAGTATAAAATAGGGATTAAAACAGAAAAGCTTTTGTAATAATTTATTAATATAATACAATAGGAATGTCTAATATTGCAAAATCTAAATAACAGATGGCGTTATTAAAAGTTATTTCCATCAACTTTATTACTATACAAAACGTACACTTAGTAATTACTTTATTAACAGTTCGTTATACTATTTAAATCTACGAGACCTAAAAACGTTAATCAAGTGCCTCAATTCAACCATTTTATTTTATTTATATTACAATACAGCTCATGTTCGCTAGATATTAGGTCTATGGCAAGTCAAATTTTAAATCAACTGTGATATTTTATTGTACAAAAAGCCATTTTGGCCGGTATATAATATATTTTCAGAGCGAATCTAGTCAACCGTCCAAGTTTCACTAAAACTCAAGTTTTTGAAATTTAGGTGCGTATATGGGAGCGTTCAAGTATTACGTCACGCAATTTTTGGAGATTATTGACACCCCCCCATGTAACGCGCTGTAACGTTTTTCTGTACCCCCAGTATAGTAAAACGTGTCGTGACCACCTAGTGACTCTTTATACCTTAAAGTTACCATTATGTGGTGTAAAGTCGAAAATAATATTAACAATAACGCGTAATTCAATCGCATCGTAACGGTTTACAACAGCCCCAAAATTCGTTACGTAATACTTGAACGCTCCCTATGTTACCGGAATATAAAAAATTCCTAGGAAATTTATAAACTTTCGTAGAATTCTAAACGAGAGATAAATTGTATTATTATACGCCCACATTTTCGCAAATTGATAAACTTACCGAACTCACGCGTAAAATAATAAGTAAGCGATAACCAAACGGCAGTGTGCTCGGATTGGTTGAATAAGTCACGTCACTAACCTAACATAACCGTTTAGAATCTTACGAATGGATATCCGTTAGTTTATAAATTTACCACGAGACGTCTTAAATAATAAAAAAAAAATCTTAAATTTGCGAAAATGTGGGCGTAAAATAATACAATTTATCTCCCGTTTAGAATCTTTTTTACGTTCCGGTGTCATATACACGTTAGAACATAATATCGATACTAACTAAAGTATAACATTTTAATGTTAATATGTTTATAAATTCATACAATGTAAATGGTGGCCTATGTCACGATGAACATACTCAGATCTTTGTTGGGCCCTATGATTCGAGAATCAGTCCATACATCTGATCTGATCACTGCATGGAGCAGTAATTTTATTGCTTTAAACACACCGGAATCAAACCTGGAACATAGTATGTATAATTATGTAGTAGCTCGATCCAATTGAGCCAGTTGATGCGCCAATCTTTCTTCTCGCGCCCTTCTCGCTTGGCCCAAGGCACGTTTCTCAGCAAATTTCAAGACAAACGTCTCCACTGATACGTTTCCTGAAATTTTCAGGATTTCACTTAAATTTGTAATGGCTTAAGCTTATTATTTGTTATTTTTAAATATTAAACTGAAATTTATATAGGTTCTTTGATGAAATCTAGTTGTATTCTAATAAAAATATACAATTTTATTAGTATGTAATAAAAAATGATATTCATAGATTTTTTTAATAGATTGGTTGTTGGCTAATGAATTAATATTTATTTATATAATACATATGCCATGTATTTCTTTAGGCGTCAATGAAAATAAAACTAACATGACAAATTGATTTGTAAGGAACATAAGACAGGCAAGCCGCATACCAATTTCGTTTAGACATTTACACTCTTTTTTATAATAATTGTCACAAAGTATAAAATTTGTGACAATTATAAGAAGAAACACAGGGAAGAGGATCCATACATGTTAAGCAAGAATGCCTTATGTGTTGACCTTATTAGCTATAATTGGATTTTTTTATTCGTTTATTAATATCAATTTTAAAACACCATTACATCTATTGATATGAAAAATAATTGGTTTGCTGTTCACTATGGACAAAATATTATTAATGCAAAATTTAGTATTTAATACTTATTAACCTCATTAGCCACAACTCAAATAAGTTACCTAATAAAAACTGCTCAGCTATAGCTTCAGCATCTTCATCAGCCCGTATTGCAGCATCTTTCAAGCAATCCCTGATACGGTGTGGTGAATATCCCTCACATAACTCTTGGTACCGTTTGTTCAGATCTTCATAACTCATCTTCATTTGAACTATTGTTGATATGCCTTCAAGTACCTTTAATTAGAAGTTGACACCATTGTTTTATTTGCAAAAACTATGTTAAGGTGAAAATCTTTAACTATGATTTGCTACAAAAGTATACAATAAGAATAGCTATCATAATAGAAAAGTGATTATAAAGAATTTTTTGTAAGCATGTTCAGATGTAGAGTCTAAATAATAGCATGCATTGTATGCACAAGAGACCTAGTGAGTGTGGAAACTGAGTCCACAAACCAACCATAGCATGCATTGGATGAATATGTGTAAACCACACAAATATGGAAAGTCAATATTTTCAAATGTCAAATTATCGTACTGATGTATATGACAACTTTATGAAACTATTGTAAAGACTCTGCAATTTTGAAACATACAAGAGACAAGCTTTAATTTATATAAACACTGAACATTATGTAAAAATAATTTGCAAAATGTTAACAAATCAAACCACTTTGATATTGCAATAATGTTTCAAGAATGGATTTAAAATGAATCGACTTCAAAAAAACTTTTCAGCTTTATAATATTTCTAATATAAGATAGATACATATTCTTAAAAAACTTACTTTAGATTTCATATCATCAAGCATTTGCTGCTTATTGAGATTGTCTTGAGCAATTTCTTCAATACTATTCATTAACTCTTCTGTTTCCTGGTCAATTTCTGCTAGTTGTGGATTGTTTTCTAATAACTTGTCCTAGATATAATTTTTTTATGATGATTTATACATTTAGATAAAAAGTAAGCTAACTACTGTTAAGTGTATTGTAAAATAAAGTATCTACAATATAAAAGGAAGTTTAATATTCAGATTATAAACTATATTATATAATTTTCTGTGTTTGTCAATTTTTGTCAAACAGCAAAAGTTTGTCAATTTACAAAAAAAAAATTAGGTTTACTTTATCCAAGAATGTGCTTAATTCATAAAAAAGCAAGAGTACAAATAGTTATTCCAAAATAATACCTGCAAGTCTGGATTTTCTAATATTTCCTGTAATTCTTCAATATTCAATTCACTTAGTTCAGGGAACATCAATGAATTCACACTAATATGGGACTGAGGACTTGTGTCAGTTGACTTATCTTCATTGGCGATACTTGGGACAGAACGCTGGAACTCTCTTATTATTGCTTGCACTACTCTGCCTGAACAAGAAAACCATTACTCACAAATTATATTTCAAAATATGATTTAAGATTCTCCAAATGCTATAATGTTAATTATCAATTCTTATTGTTATTTTAAGTAAGATTAATATTTGATTGTACGGTACAGAAATGCATGCTAGTCTCAACTCTGAATCTTACTCTTAAAATCCATAAATTAACTTTGTGACAGACGCAGAAGGCGATCATCTTTTAGCACCTGAGGCAAACATCCACACAGTGTTTAGCCACAGCATTATTACTAAGTATTCCAAAAGAATTACATTTTATTTTAATTTTTGAAAACACAATTAGTTACACCAACATAGGCTAATATACAACATTTAAAAATCAATTACGACTGACAATATAAGCTTTCCTTACCTAAGTCAGAATGAACAGTATAATTTAGAAGTCCTGGTGCACCCACCACCTGATTTGAGTTCTCTCCTAACCATGGATGGTTAAAAACTGGATTAACAAAAATAGCAGGTTTGTCATTTGGAAATTCTGGACTAAGAACAATATTTAGAACCATGTTCCTTGAATTTGCCGTAAACTCCACTTTATATTCAGCATGTTCTTTTACCTCCGTAACATTATCATTAAAAACCTTTAGTGCGTCTATTTGACGTTTTCGTAAGTCACGCTCAGTATAATACTGTCTAGGTATCATGGTGATATGGACAATAAGAAAAGATATTAGGTATCTTCTGGAAAATAAAATAATTATTTAGAACTTCTTTAAATATTCAACATATCAACAAACGTAGTAGCTCTGTTAATACCTACCTGTGTAAAATAAAACGTACAAAACCTAATAGGTTTCAGAGAAGTATTTTATTAATGAAGAAAAAGGTATTATTGTAAAGTTTGAATACATACGATATAAAAATTTGCTTTACTCCGAAAGCGATGTAACTTTATAATTACTTAAGGCTTATTTGTTAACTCAGACTTTTAAATTTGTACTTAAACACTTTATTTGGTTTATGAATCGTAACAACAATATTTAACAAAGTTAATATCAAATATAGTAAATACTCAACAGTAAATACAAAGCAATATAAATCATGAAATCAATAATTTTTTTACTTCTCCATTTTAAGAATTCAAAACTGACAGCCTGACAGTAACATAAATTGTCAAAACTTAGTGTCACTTTCAGCTTTGATATTTTTGATTTGTCATTCTGACAGTGCTATCCTTTTTTTAAATACTTCTCGATTTTTTTATATTTTAAACTTACCTCAAGATTTATTTTTAGTTACTCATTTTCCCGATTTTTATTTGAACATACATAAATTTCACCATACCATACCATATCACAAACAATAATTCATAAACATAATTTTTGGAGTATCCGGCGATATGCCGGAGTTATGCTTTGGAAAAATTGGGAGTAGGTATGCAACTTAAAGGAAGTTCCAAAAACTTCCTTTAAGTTCAGGCTATAGGAAAAATTATAAAATCTAGAACTTTTTATCTGCTTCCCTGGAGACGCCAACTACCTTACCAAACCGTAAAAGATCGAACAAAAATTGTAGAAAGCCATAGGGATAGTAGAAAAATTCAAAATGGCAGAAAAAAGGTGGCCGCCATACACAGGTACCAACGACTTTATTATTTTTCGAGCGACCGAGCTGAAAATTGTGGTTGTGTTCATAAATTGACTCGTTTATTAAATCTGTATAAGTATGTACTTGTAATTGTTCTGATGTCTGGTTTCCATTTTCCACACAACCTGAAATTCGCCCTGCGAAAACAATAATACGTAGAATAGCAATGTGGCAGTTGAAATTGTCAGTGAATTAGAGTAACTTTGTGTTTACAGAAATGGTTGAAATTTTATATTTTTGAAGTGCCCTTTTTCACGGAACGCCTGATATTCAGAGTAGAGTGGTATGAAATTGTGCAGACGAAGAGATGTGGGACAAGTTTTTTTTTATTCTTTTGTGCCAGGGACATGTATGGCCCCTTTAAGGCCCACAAGTCTCGGGCTGGGTGCAGGCCAGCGCGCCTTTATCCTCAATTTTATAAGAAGTTTGTCGAGAGTGAAAGGCTTAAGAAGGTCTAAGATCCCCAATTAGATTTATTTAATAAACTTATTTTATATATAATTTAATATGTCAATAAATATAATCCATATGGGTTGCCTAGCAAATTTAGTCCAGAGTATTTTAATTATTAAAAAAATATTTTTTAAACATTTCACCGGTATGATTATTAGATAAATTCTATACCAATCGAAAGTATGAAGCCCATAGAATATGCAAAAGTTAGGTTGTTTTTAATCAATTCTTATTTATGTGTATATTTTTTATGTGACACTAAAGTATATATACATCTTTAGTATAAAAGAAGGTTATAGTGATACATATATAATACTACCCTGATTAAAAATATTGATTGAAAAAAGTTCAAAAAATTTACTACATGCTAATTATAAAAAAAAAATTTTTTTTTAAATATTAATTAAACATACTCTGGACTGAAATTTGCTAGGCAACCCATATGGATTATATTTATTGACATATTAAATTAAATATAAAATAAGTTTCATTAAATAAGCATCTCGGTGAAGGTCGTTGTATAGCGGGATCTTATACTAGAAGGGAAAGATTTCATCGAATGTATGTAACATCAAATGCTTCAACCCCCTATATAGCAGACCGCGTGCGGTCTTAACAAGTTATTAGCTGGGAGCAAAAATCGTTTGACAGTGTTTGTAAGCATTTCAATAACCAAGAGGTATTACAGTTGATTTATTCTTTTCCGTAGGGAATAGGAATACTATATCTTTCCCCTTATTCACAGATAATGTGGGCCCTTACACCCACAGCACAATCTCGCACACGGCGCGACAGCTGGTGTTTGTATATTGTGGTATATGAGCCTACTCTCCCCGAAAGGCTTGAAATGCACTCAAAAATTATCGTAATTATAACCTTGTGATTTATTGTTAATAAAGTTATATTTATCTATTATTAATGTAACTGACTATTAAACGTAATACCATTTTTATTTATTTATTTACACTTTGTCGCATTACAATATAAAATATTAACATTATTAAATGTAAAAGAGGGCAACTGGCGGCCTTATCGCTTTCGAGCGATCTCTTCCAGGCAACTACTGTGAGAAAAGGAAAAAATGTATTAAATTAGATAAGGTAGGCAAGAAGTGCAAAAATACATATAGTTATTAAGAAAAAAAAAAGAAACTAAACAGGAACAAAAAACAATCTAAACTAATAAAGGATACATGAAAAATTAAAAGTAAAAAGTGCACATGAATCATAATAATTTAAATTAAGATTAGTCTCACGTCAGTTAGTAGTTGTTACGAAAGTTGGATACGATGTGGACAGATCATGTTTATAAAGAAGAAATTTAAAGGAAGATGGAGGAGCTAAGCGCATAGGACGGGAAGTAAATTCCATAGCCTAACTGCTGTTTGTTTAATTTATATATAAAAAATTGAATATCTGTGGCCAAATAGTGCCCATAATCGTCAGAACATTTACTCGACGTTTTGTTACTACGCTGTGCTATTTTGCAGGCGCCTGCTGAAATATCATTATAATAGACGCAAGCTTTACCAGAAATAGTATTACAGACATAAAAATGAGTCTGCTCCGTGCCAGCAATGTTGGTATTTAATTCCAAATGGCGCATGCGTTGCCGTATTGCAGAGAAAACACTTAAATTAGGGCATCTTGAGTGGCTAAAAATCTATCGGTCTGACTAGTTTCTGCTCGTGGCTTTGCTTGCTAACACATATGGATAAAACAGTAGTCTGTGACGTCAGTTTTTCGTTTATATTAATAACTAAATATGTGAAGTTATGAATGGATGACACGGTAAGTGTTTATTGTAGTCAAGAGTTTTATCTTGAGGAATAATTAAATAAATTTCATATTTAACGAGGGAAAAGTTTATTTTAATAATTTATTGTGATTATATTTAATTTTTCAAATTATATTATTGCAGAGAATCGAGAGGTGATGACAGGAATAGAGTAAGTATCTTAAATCTAAAAGATTCGGCGATAATTAAAAAGATATTTGATTTTTCTGGGTTGCTAGGAACTGGAAACAAACATAGATAATGCTTTAGATATATTTTGTTTTGATGTAATAATAAACATTTTAATAATGTTTCTCAAGTAATATAGAGTCTTGAGCGCCTTATTAAAAATTAATAGAAAAAGTCACACAGAATGTAACAGGAATTGAAGGACATTTAAAACACTATTTCAAAAGAAGTAAATAACAACTTCCAAAGTAATGTAAAATATAATAAATTTCATTTTTAATTATGTATTGCTTTGAACAAATAGGTTACTCATATGTAATTTTTGTTTTTGATATAGGCGTTATAGAAATCGTGTTTGACGAAATCAATATAAAAATACCTGAAAACCAACGAAAAGGCTGTCCATTGATTTTTTTAAGGGTTCAGTAGTAACAGAAGAACGGAAATCCTACAAATTACTTTTAATAATAAGCACATTTCGCGTACGAACGAAAAATTATTTTTGCCGAGATCGAAACTAGACTATTAACCACTCACCCGATGACGTCAAATATTACTTATCATCTACAAGTACTGTTTCATTCACGCAAGAAATGCCACCAAACCCCCACCAAAAAGTGGGGCACACTTAACGATTGTCACTAACAATAACCACTCTCCATACTGTAAGTAACTTTCGACTAGAGTTGACCATTCGTTACAAAAATTCGCGCCGTAACCTAGAAAAATTGAGATCGTTATTTGCATAATAATAATATACTGAGAGCCCAACGGCGATTTTTATGTAATATGCTGTAATAAACGTTATGCAACTCATTTTGGCCTCATATTTTGGCGACTTACGATAGTCTGCAGTCCGCCATGGCAGTGCGCGCGCTTTTCGTTTGACAATAGTGATTTTTTTTTGTGTGTGCCAGTGTAGAGTGACAGTTGCATTGGTTAAAGGAGGATTTATTCAGGTGAGCGAAATAATTATTATAAACAGTAAAAAATATTATTGTTCTATGTGTTTCCCTATTTTTATTATATCACGAAGCGAAACATGTATCGTGAAAGTGCTTCCTTTGCGGAAATACGTTGACCGTTTTACTATCTTGAGAAATCCATAGATTGCTTTTCCGGATTAAAAAGAATGTTTAGACATTGCGAAATTATCTGTACCACTGACCTAGATAGCACGGCTTTTCGATGACATAACATTAATTAAGTTACATTTGTTTTTGATGAAATTAATTAAATAATCTGTGTGAAATTCGTAAATATATACTTGGTATAAATGGTATAGAAACTTCAGATTTTATATCGGTTATCTAAAAATAATTTAATATGAAATACACGTTTAAGTTCTTGCATTTATGGGCTGTAATAGCTATTTTCATTTTATAAAATCTTAACTATTAAATAAATCCATTAAATCTAAATTAATATTTTCTTGTATAAAATTGACGGGGACTCCCCCCGTCTCGAATAGGAATCTCAAAACTATTTAGTGACGTACACATTATTATGAAATGTGAAAGTCTGTTTAGATTGTATGTAGTAATGTTTGTTACCCAGTCCCTCACTGAAGGCTGAAGCGAAATTATCAGTACATATTATATCTTCGTAAGTAAATATGCCGAGAAAGAAACCCGATGAC